TGTGAAGGAATAAGAATGCAGTATAATAATTTAGCATTATGGGTAGAATTCTTTTTACACTAATGGAATAACAACTATGAGCTGATAGACAACACTGTCTGACAGTGGTAGGTCTTATATAGATGGGTGCTACCATTCAGACAAATTGTATTCAAACTGAAGCAGTGAATATTGCAAGGAATCAGTGATTCAACATAAAAAAGGGTCATCATGCACTTAGTGATGATCAAAACATTTCAGATGGAAATATCAAAGAAGTGAAAAACCTTAACTCAAAGGAACATAATTCTCTGAGAAAGGCATCAAGACTAGTGATATATGGATGTTTTAAGGCCAAAGGCGACCACTGATCTCTGTTACAGAGGACAGAAGATGCTGAGAAACATGTATGGGCCATCTCGCATTTCCTGCAGAGTATTTAGTGACTTGAATAAGGGATTTCAAAAACTGGGACTGATCAGGATGAGCCATGCCCTATGATCATTAATTAATACATACCACAGTACCATTTACCGTTTCTTACAGTGACATAAATATACTGGTGCAATAGAAAAATAGTGCAGGAGCCAATTAGTTTCTATGATCGATTAATTCAACATCAATAACTCAAATCTGCATTACACATTTTGAAATCTGCATTCACAGAAACGTACTAGTATTCTGTTAGGCACACTCCATTTATGTACTTGTGCGGGAAGAATAAAGTCAGTTCTATCAAAGGCTGGGAATATGTTTAAAGCAGCACATTTATTTACATTTTAATCATTATATTACTGCATCTTTCCTTGCTTTTACAAGAACATTATCTTTATTAAGATATATTTCTCAAGTTTGTAAGAAAAGAAATGTTAGGATTTGGAAATTTCCAGAAATTGTAAGTTTTACAAATTAATTATTGATTTTAAGCACATTTAAATTGAACATCAATATAAATTTTGCAAGGCCTCCCAAGGATTTCCTATTTAATTTCTCAAGAACAAGCAAATGAAACACTACCCATTCGGATTTCTCATTTAAAAGCTAATTCTTATGAGTACTGGACAAAACACATCAAGTCACTTTTGCCATCAGAACAAACGATGTACTAATTACTTGATGATAATTTTATATGATTTAGTAATTTGTATCCTGCACTTTCAATTCTATCTGGTATTTCCTAGTGGTATTAAATTTGCTTAACTATAAAAGTGATGTGATGGAAACTAAACAAAATGAACAAATATAAACTAAACTCAGAAGGCACTAGCTTTTAGTTGCTCTTGTTTAACACTTTATTCCTCAACTTCTCTCTTAGAAGAAAGGGTACCTTTTCCTTAGCCTTTTTCTCCCTTTTTCAAGTCAAACTCTACTATGCACCCAATAGGGAATGAAAACTTTAAAGCTGATTTTTTATTCCTCGTCTTTTTTTTTTTCTAGCTTCTCTTCTTCAAATCATAAATTATACCCTGCTACATCCTGGTTTTTTTTTCCTCTGATTCTTCTACTAAGCCTCATGTTTTCCTAGCAGTTCCAGATATTTTTATTTTCACAAACTTTACAAGTGTTGGATTGTTCATTTGTTTATGTTTTGATTTGATTTCATCCCCTAGTTACGTTGTGATTCACAAAATGAAAGAAAAATTGTTCAACTATTCTCTAAGTGATAGGTATGGGAAATTAGTGGTCATGCTCTGAACTGGGTAAATACTAAGTGTCACTCAATGAAAATAAGATAGAAGCTTTATTATGAATGTTTTTTACCCAGCTTTGTAACATCATGGTAACACAGGAGTGTTAGGGCAATCAGACCAGATCTGGCAGCTGACTGTGGGTGAGGCTGCTGCAGCTGTATGGCCCCAGGTCCAACCAGCAATGAGACTGACCATGTTTTCCTGGTCAGCATATACAGAGAAAGCACATCTATAGGCTACAAATATACACATGTATATGTGGCCAACTGCACAGATAACCCAGACAGCAGTTGCACAAACACAGACAGCACCAGCAGCCTCAATCTGTTCTCCTCTCTGGCTAAGAATGATGGAGGTCCACTGGTGGGATATCTATGTGTATGCATATGTGCAAGGTGGATGTTTTCAGCAGCTGAGCTCACACACTCCATCTGCTCAGCAGATGTCCTTGGATCCCAGTCTCCCCTGCTGCTGGCACCTGGATATGTGAGCCCCCAAGGCTGCAGCCCCAGTTCGGCTGCTGATACAGACCATCTCATACACACACAAATGCACATGCAGAACCGTCTCACCCCTAGAGACACCCATGCCTCAGTGTGTCTCTGGGAGCTGGCCAGGACTCCTATGGCCCCTCCAACAGTCAGCTACTCAACTAGTCTTGCACATAAAGACATGAGACTGACCTCATTCTCCACACTCGTGGACACTTAATTCACTCCCTCCAGTCTCACCAGTTGCCTTCATGCAGGCCTGCAGCTGGGCTCCAGTCAAATTGTGGCACTCAGACCCCATGTCCACACATACACACACACAGAGAACAGAGTCCTTCACCCAGAAAAAGTTAGACAGCAAATTAATAGGAAGATGGGACAGACTGCACTGATCAGATACTGGACACAGCCAACCATACTAACCAGCAATGTTAACTTTCTCCAGTTCTTTTGATCCCTTGATTCCTCTATTTTCCCACACTTGTTCCTCTCAAATCAGATCCATCTCTTCCCTTGACTTTTGTTCCTCTTCTACACATCTCATAATAAGTCCTGTGCACACCCAAAATACTCTACCACTCTGTCTCATATCACCCACATCCCCAGGCAGCAAACCTCAGCAGTCATAAATACTCCAGAACTGACCCATGATAGGTTTCATGCCCAGACACTAGGACTGAGACTCTCCTGGGACAGCCCTGCAGGTGCTGGGAGAGGGTGTCCCTTCCTCTGAATCTTTGATCTGGGTTCCTGCCTGCCCTTGTGCCCTTGTGCTTGTGGAGACTGGCTGATGGTTCCTGTGATGGGCCTGGGAGAGGCAACAGCAGGGTGTTAGTTGAAATCCCCTCTACCAGTATCTGTCTGTGCTCCTTTGCGAGTGTGCAAGATCCACACATCCTAACATGGATTGTCTTCAGATATTGCTGAAGTTTTTGATCTAAAGGGGGGAATGATACAGGAAGTGTTGAATTTTCTTACTGTTCTCTTATGTGAACATAAACTTCTGATAAGAAGATAAATCAGTAATTGTGCCTTGTTCTTGCTCACGTAATTGAAGGAATAAGTGTACTAACTTGAGATAAAAGACAAATATTGAGGTTGAGACAGGAAAAAACCCAGCTCAAAAGATTTAGATTTCTCTTCCACTTGGAGAAATGTGCAGGCAAATACAGAAAGGTTAGAAATGTGCTCATTGACTGAAATAGTGCAAAGGAGGACCAAAGAAACTAGTTATGACTCAAGCACTATCTCTACAAAGTTTGTATCGTTGTTTAATCACTCAGAAAGCACCAACTACATAGGTAAATAGCTAAACTTCTGTTTCTTGTTGTAAAATTGATTACTAAGTGTGTTTTTGCAAAGCTGGTAATTTTCTTACATGTTATGAATAACATTCCTGAATTATTTCTTTTAGAATATTGCGGCAAATTGCAGTTGTGGAGATTAGAAAGCCTGAGAACTCTAATTCTAATTGAAATGTCTTCATATGATAGTGTTTTTGTATGTATGTCTTCTCAAATAATACATGCAGCACTTCTGAGGAATATAGTCCCTCTTAACCACTACCATCCATTAAGAAATCGTTCCCTTTTATCCTTAATGCTGCAGCAGTCTCTATCTGTACCCTTCTGCCATGGCAAAATGCCAGTCACTGTTTGTGCAACCCAGGTAGTAAAACTAAGTGATAAAACCACTTCTTGTTGTTTAACAAATCAAGCCAAAATGACCATTTCATTCAAGTAGACATGTCATATGGAAAAAAGGTAGAACCTGGAACAGTACTGTGTAACACTGTTCTAGTATCTTGGATCGCCATCATTAAGGCAGGACTGAACAGCAAGACTTTGACAATTTTAAATGCTGTATATAATTTACCATCTCTCTAGGTTTTGTGCTCTTTGGCCAATATGTCTTTACACGAGCATCCTGATGGGAGTGGATTTGTGCAGTGAAGTGGGTGGTGCTAAAAATCCAGTGACCTAAAGGTCCAATATCCTCATTATGTGTGTTTGGGGGGAAGTTACTCTAACCTCGTTTTAGACTGCTCCCACAGACTGACTGCCAATTTGGGGCAAGATCATTGTCTTTGTGTTCTTGGAACATATCCTTTCATATAGTTTAATCCAAAAAGAATCTATTTTTTCCCTCTATGCTGCAAAACAGAAAGAAGTAACTAGGAGATTGTTTCATGATTCAAGCTAATGTGCTGTTGTAGGCACACCAGGGTCATTAGGCTCAGACGGCTGTAATACAGAGGAAGCTTATCTAATGTATGTTGAGTAATAAGTGCTAAGTATACTTATCTTGAATTAATCTGCTCATAACTAGAATTCTAAAATAATGACTATACTTTGAGTAGAATCATTTTGAAAAGAACTGACAATGGGACCGTAGTTATACTAAGCAGAAAAAGACCAATATTTCTGCAGTGAAAATTTTCATTTTCTTATTCTCACTAAGAAATCCTCCTACTAGGATTATTTTCTTCTTCTCCCAAAGCATATCAAAATATTAACTTAGTCCTTAATGCAAAGCAACCTGCAATGCTTGTTTACTGTTTACATAAGTTACTGAATTTTGTGCTTTACTCCCTCAGAAGGTAATGAGAATTACGTACTGTGCTTGCAGATTGGGGCAAAACTAACTCTAACCATTGAGAAAGTATCAGGAGCATAGCACCCTTCTATACTAGAAACCCTAATTCAGGTGCCCAGAATAAGAAGTCTGGATAAAAGGGTTCTCTAAGTTGCATTCTATTGCCCTCAGTATGCCCTTAAGTTACCTTTTCTTCATAACCAGAGAAAAGAAGCCCTGCTTTTCTCTCTCCCCTTTATTCCAGGTGGTTCATGTTCTCATGTTATCAGTAGATGCCAGAGGCTGGAATTGGGACTTAAAAAAACACCTGAAGCCTCATGGTAATGTCTCAAGAGATAGCAGTAATAGCATTTTTATGGACTGAGCAAGTATAAATTTGGTACTTGTACACTTGACTGCTCAGTGACTCCTATAGTATTTTTGATATATTTTGATATGTCGTTTTTCAACATAGTTATTATACTTCTTTAATGTCTGCCTTTCATGGAGCCTTTAAGAAGCTTCCCACCTCTGTCTGAAAACATTTTAGCTCCCTTTATTCAAAAGTTTCATCCACGCATCCACATCACAGAGTTTTCTGTTTGATTATAGAGCTTATCTAAAGTTACCCTGTTAGCAATTTGAAGATTTCAATCACTTATTTTCTGAAAGGTCATTTTCTCTTTTTGTGAGCTCTAGCTGAGACTTTTTCCTGCTATTCTGTATTAATTAATACTCTTCTATCCTTTACTAAAGTTACTGTGTTCTTCTATTATTTTGATATGCCCCACATTAGACAGGTGTCTGGATGCAAGTCTAACAGAAATGCTGAAACACTATTTTCTGGCTTCTGTTGAGTGGTTTGGTTTATGATACTATTTTCAACTTTTTCTTTTTTTTTCGTTTGTGTTGCCTATGGGCCTACCTCTCTACTTTGTCACCCCAGTGTTCAGCTAGTGTAGCTTCACTAAATCAGCATATAGTGAAATTAAATTACTACTAAAGGGCAGAGGATTGAGCAATAGAGTTCTAATTCTCAGGAGGTTGGGATGGTCTTTACTTATTGCAGTGAAGCAGTACTCCATTTCAGATGTGGCAGCAATGGAAGCCTTTGAGTAAGAGTTTCTCAAAGGAAATTAAACCAGAGTCATAGAGGTTGAACATGTTTTCTAGGGTCTTTTTATTTTACTCTGTGCACAAAATATCCTATGTTTTGTGAAGATACAGAAGGCTACAAACTGGCAAATTTCACACATGGTGAGTCTTGCTGTCTCAGCAGCGCATTTGACTGGTAGGTTTGCTCTCCAGATTCAGCGGTATCTGTTCCCTGTGCTCATCAAACTGCTGGTGTACCTTGCCTTTTCTTTTACAGAGTGACATCATCCTTCTTATTCTTACAGTTAAGCAATCTGTAGCTCAGGGGCCACTAACACTTGCACCTTTTGTAGCTGTTCTGCAATTGAGAGGAACTGCTTGACAGTGGTTGAAAAAATTCCATCCACTCAAGCTGCTCTGTGCCTAGGTGTCCATTTGTACAAACAGCCTCCACAATCTATTTAGTGAATGTTCATTTATCCATAGTGACATGTTCGAAGTAGGCATGTACAATGTGTTTTGGAGAATATTTTTGTTGCTTATATTTTTATGTATTTCTTATAAAATGTATTGTAACAAATGAGGGAAATGAACATTCCATTTATTATCCTTATATAGCAGCCTGTATTGTCAATTTGTACAAAAATTTAAAGCACAAACTGATCTTTTTTTGTTAAGAAGGTTCCTTTAAAAATAATGCAGATCATGTAACCTAAATAAATGCCAGACCTAACGTTTTCCAGATGGCAAAGATGTATATACCCAAGGAGCTATGGAAAATATTTTCCAGTTCTTTACATTTCAACATGTGCATGTTTTCTACTTCAGACTGATTTATTTAGTCTTGTAGCAACAGAAAGCTGTATTTGATTAGATCATTATCATCTCTCTGGTTACCACAGAGATGCACAGTACTGCAAAAGGAACTCTAATTCATTTATCTGTTAATATCTTTGTGTTGTGTTATAATTATCTCTTATTCTGTTCTGGTGTGTTCTCCCTTCAGGAAAGAAAGAACTTGTTGGTATTTTCTTCTTATCATAATTTATTGTTAAAGGATTCTTAAAACCTTGAATATGCTTTGAAATTGTGCTCATAGGTACTTAAATTTTGCAGGTTTGATCACAGAATTTAGTTGTAGGTATAAGTAATGCAGACACCAATCTTTGTATATAAACACTCATTACATAAAGTCTCTACCATTTCCTTAGCTCCCACAGATGTTTTTCTTTTTCAAAACTGAAAATGTAAGTAAGAATGTAAAAGCATGGAGGAGACTTCATGTGGATATGTCCCTGCTTTTACTAATCTGTGGTCTTGCTCCATGGGTAGTTCAACCCTATTATTCAAATGGCTGCTCACAGATTAATATCACGGTTAGGTTTTCTTTTGGAAGTGTGACCTCTCTTCCACACTGACACATATTTGCCCTTTCATGGGTAGTGTGACTCTGTTTTGCTGCATGTTTCCTGTCATAGTTTGCTGTCTCCCCTTATCCTCTGTCCTTTGGCCAATTTTTTGTTTGTCTTATATTCTCCTGCTTCTAATCTGCACACAGGTGTGATTAGACTAGGAGGATATAAAATGTCATTTGGATATATAGCTCAATTATGCTAATTATCAGGTCCATTTATCTTTGTTACTTGCAATTCATATCTACCATTTGTTTTAATATTATGTTTTTATGTTAAAAGTCTGAAATTGCTTTTTATAATGCTCTACCAAATTTTTGAAGATGTGTTTATTACTAAGGTCAGTTATATGTCCTGGGCTGGGTTGGTACACTAATGTATGGACGTGAGAACTTAAATGAATGCTTGGAGTTATAGAAAATAATAGACCAAGGGTCACAACATCTATTTTGACTTAAAGTTGTAATAGTGATAAAGAGTTGGAGACACTCTCTTTACCAGTTTAAGACAATTTGATGCAGTTTAAAAGAAATATCCTAATCTGGTTAAGCATACAGTCAACATCAACACTTCCTGCCTACCTTTTAATATATGTAGGGCTATTTTTTTTCCCTTAATTATTTGCAGTATTATTTTACTACTTGTTTAGCTTCTCTACCGGGAATCAGAAATAGCTGTTCTTCAGTGATGGTGGACATTTGAACTTTATAAGCTGCCTTGGGGTCCAGTGAATTAAAAATTGGTGGAAATGTCAGATTCTACAAGCTATTTGGTGGTTTAAGCTTAATAGTATTTTAATTCATTTTTTTTGTAGAATATTGCTCGGTTTCAAGCATTTTGTTATAATTTTCTGTTTTCATCCTAGTTTCTTCTTAACAGGAGTGCTTAATTGTGTGTTAGGGCTTCTACTGCCTCTCTTCACTCCCAAGAACTATTAAAATTACCCATTAGTGAAAGAGCAATCTCTGTGATCTACTACATCACAGCAGAAATGGCCAGCTGTGATTAGAATAGAAACACTGCATGGAAAAATTGCCAGTAAGATGTAAACAGGATTTTTTTTTTTCTTAATCATAAATGAAATATAAGAGCATGTGAGTACTACAAATATATATATTTAAATAAGTTTGCATATCTGAATAATTATAAAGATAATATTAGTATGGAGCAAAATATGTTAATACAGTAGCTCTAAATTATATTCCAGAATTCTTTGAAGATAAGTGTAGATTTTTGTGTGTAAGACTTTGGTTTAGACTAGAAGGAGAGGCATGAAAAAGTTATAAATATATTTTCACTGAAAGCTGTTTTAAAAGGGCTAGCATCCACTAGTGATAAATACTGAAACTTTCAAATGCAAATTGTCTGCTTATTATAGATGAGGGAGCCCATTAATCTACTTGCTCACCTTTGTATGTGATGTGAAAATCTAACCCCCCTAGGATTCATGATTACTGTTCTCCTGTTAAGATGAAATGAAGGTTGACCACCCAGAAAATTCTGTTTTGCATAAATCTGGAGATTGAAAATGCTTTGGTACCAGTGGAAAACAGCTATTGTTTGTGACCATGACTAGGCACAGTTAGTTGAACTCCAGACAACTTGCCAAGAAAGACGTTGTGAATCAGGTCCTGAAATCATGAATAGTCAACAGGGAGTGAGAGAAGAAAATGGAGCACTAGGGAACACTTCCTTGATGAGCTGCTTTGCTGAGCAATGCACAGCGATACTCAGCATATTGCACTTTTAAGCTTGGTATTTTCTTATTTTTGTGCAGTGAATTATAATATTTGAATGTGGAAGTGATAAATGCATGTGTAGTTGTTGCTAATTTCAAACTTGAAAGTCAGTGCAGTCTTCTGGCAAAATTCTGGTGGGAAAGCTTTTGAATCATGTGCACACTACAAGGATAATCTCAAGCTTTTTCTTCCTCTAGTGTTGGTGTATGAGGTCCATGTATACACGGGTGCTAAACCTGGTGCTGAAACGGATTCTAATGTTTATATCAACCTCATTGGGACAAGAGGAGATGCTGGCAAAAGGAAGCTCCACAGATCTAAGAATAATAATGTAAAATTTCGACAAGGACAGGTGAAGTAATAGCAATGCTATCTCTGATCAATAAAAGTAATTTATAGCTAGCAGATTGTTTCTTCAAGTCTAAATATCTTTAGTTTTATTCAAGCAGTTTACCATTTTCTCATATATTTTCTTTATTCAAAATTACTTGCAGAATTACCTCATATGAATAACTGATCTTCTGGATCAGTAATTCGTTGAGAACATTGGATAGGAGAATTTGAGTACTCTTAGTTACTTACATTGCACATATACAGAAAATGGTAACAACTTTTTTTCTTCTCTCAGACAGATCACTGAATTTTAGAAGCAAGTTCTAAATCGTTATTCCCAAGTGTGTTTTCCAGTCTTGGTGAGGCAGATAGGACTAGAAAGAGTAATACAGAGATGACCAAATAATTCTTTGTAACTGATCATTGTGTCATGCTAAAGGAATTGAGTGCTGTCTCTATGGAGTAATCTTGAGATGTTATTTACCTTAGAAAGCTTTAAAGGATCCTTACTATTAATTTTGAAAAAAAAAGAGGAGAGAGAAAATAAACTATTCTATACTGTTATCATCAAAGCAATAGCTGTTATCATTTTCTTTGTATGGTTCCACAGATGGATATTTTCTGCATAAAGGCTGTCTCACTGGGAGACTTGGAGAAAGTTCTGATTAGCCGTGATGGAGCCGGTCCAGGTAGAATTTAACTTCCCAGAGACCAATCTGTTTTCAAGCCCTTTTTAAACACAATGCACTTTATTTATATTGCATCCTTTATACAAAAATGTGACAGAAGGTCATGCAGTGATAAAAAGTCTTCCTGCAGACTGGTCACTGTGGCGGGGTGGTGAAAAACAGTGGTAATAGAAAGCAAAAAGGACATGAGTTTAATGTCAAATACTGTCATCCTACTCTTTGTTTTCAAGTTTATTTATAAGAAAATCCTATTTAATTACATAGAAAACTCATGAAAGCATAGCTCACACAGGTAAAATAATCCTTCATTAGACAGACTGTGAAGACTGGCCAGAATAGAACTAAAGATCGTGAACACTTGCTTTACTACTAAACAAATTTTGAGTAGCTATAGCATAATGCCCATTGCTGCTTTGGGCAACGGTAGAAGATTTGGATGCTTTTTTTAATCTGTGCAAGTAATGTGGAGCTTTTTCAGTGAATGACATAGCATTCAGCTTGCACGTTTTTCAGAAAAAAACAAGCAAACAAAAAGAGACAATTTTGTGATGAGGTGTGTTTTTGGTACAGGCCCTTGAGTTATGCACCTCTGGAATGATGTAAATGAAGACAAAGCTAGTATTTAAAAGCACTAAAGATGCAAATACTGCAAATACATTTGCAGATTAAGGAAGGCTCTAGGAAGGAGCCAAGTGAAGAGAAGGATTTTTAAGGCAGTTCAGGGCTACACTGATCCAAGATTAGAGAAACACTTTTACCCTCCTCTGAAATGGCTTGGAGCAGTATCCATGTTGCTGACTGTACTGTCTAAGACTCTGAGCAAAATTATTCTATTACAGAAGTAGCCTTATTAGTGCAGCCTTGGTACGGGGTGTAAACTTGATTCTAGTATCTCTGTAGTTTGCTAGTTTGCTTCTTTCAGCAGTACAGATGATTGTATAACTGAGAGTTTCACATCTTAGTAGGCCAAGGCATAACACAGAAGGTAGTGTGGTGGAGCCTACCTTCATTCTGTTTCCCCAGGACACCATACTATGCTCTCTTCCTTTGTCTTTCCTTTAATAAGCAACATAGCCGTATCACTGGAACAGCATTAATCTGCAACCAGAGTCAGCTATCATCTTAAGCTTTTCTATGGCAATAGACATCTGTGGATTTGCAGGATCGTCTAAAGAGGACAATGGCTTGAATACTTTCTATAATAAAATTTATGCCTCTTTGATTAAGATGATTGTTCATTGTATTCAGAACAGACAGATCTCACAGACCTCTTTTAAAGTGTATCCAGACCTAGCCCCAGATAAGCTTGGCCTGAGGTAACCTGGGGGTTTGAGAGCTGGAAAAGGAAGGCGAGTCAGCACAGGGGCTATCTAGAGACCCAACCTTTTGGGAGTTGAGCAGGAAGAATGAAGGTTCCTTTAGTGGTGAGGCTTCCCTTTTTTCTAATGATATCGCTTGCATGATAGGGCAGAAGACCTTGAGTCTTGAAAGTATCGTAGAACATATGCTTTCTTTGGGGCTCCTAGACTTCGGCCATTGTGAATGAGGAAAGAAAAGGGATTTTGTCCTAGGTTTTGGTATTGGTCAGGTGTGGGTCACAAGATGATGTGTCTTATCTTCTGAAAGAACTTTCTCCTCCATAGAAACCTTCAATACATTCCTGTACATTTACACAAGCAACGCTTTTCTTTTCTTTTTTGACCTGTTTCAAAGTGACATGCCTGGTTGATGGTTAATGTGGTTAATTGGAAGGCTAGTAGGTTCTTTCTAATTAAAGAATATCTACAATATAAAAGGGTGATGGAAGAAGCTTGCAAAGTGTCCTAATGTGCCCTGGGCCTGAAGTCTTTAAGGAGAAATACCATTCTGTTCCATGCACTGCCTGGGCAAGTCCTCCTTATGGGACAGAGACTGCTGCCTTCTAGGGACTTCCAGACTCAGATGCTGAGCATGAGAATAAATAGGACAGTTGTATGCTTCTGACTGAAACATCCTTCATGCTATTTTGCTACAATGTGCTGTTAAATAATGTTGTGAGTAAGGCAAAATGTCATAAGCAACATGACAACTTGTGAGTGGTGCCGATACAGTGAGAACAGGATATTTGAATAGTGCTTTGCAGAAGAACTGTACCAGTCACTAGGATGATTATTGGAAGTGATCCAAGAGATCAGCACGGACGCAGAAGTGGTTACTGCTGTTAGGGAGAGAAAAAAATCAGTAGCCTGACAGAAGTGAGGCTGCATAGGTCTGTGCCTGCTGGTGGCACTAGTAGCAAGGCTGAGTATGTGCTGTCAGGTGGCACACACAGAGACACATTTACAAAGCACATATATGTATGCACATGGCTGGCCACACAGATCAACACAGGAACTCAGCACATACACAAACACAAACATCTGTGGCCTTATCCTATTTCCCTCTCCAGCTGATCAGAATGACAGTCCATCAATGGTAAATCTATCTATCTATCTATCTATCTATCTATCTATCTATCTATCTATCTATCTATCATCTATCTATCCAGTTTGACTTATAAGGACTCCAGTAGCTGGCCTTAGACACTCAGTCTATCCAGTTGCTGTCCCTGGATCCTTGGATCTTCCATTTTTCCAGTTACTGGCACCTATACAAAGCCCTTCCAAGGCTGCAGCCCCATTCCATTTGCAAATGACAGCAACAGTCTTAATGATTTGTTAATTAATACTCTTCTATGTGCAATAACAAGTTCACTCCAAACAACCAAAATTTCCACCTTTCACAGAGGTCTCATTCTCTAAGGAAAAAAAACCCACTTCTCTCAAAATTAAAACAGCAAGGCAGAGAAGAATTAACATTGTACGTCTTGTGAGAGACACAGAATAATAAAGCTTTCATTCTGTTAATATATCTTATCTATTTAGCTTAGCTCTGTCTTATTATGATGTGTTTCTGCTGGATTTTTTTTTTTAATTTTAATACAAAAATGCATTATTTTGCATGATAAACTTTTGTCATTACAATGCAGGCAATGGATGGTTCCTGGACAAGATTGTTATCAAATATAAGGAAGGAAAGGAAGATCAGGAGGTTGTATTTCCTTGTAATAGGTATGCCATTAATGGAGAAAAAGCATTTGTTACACTTCCAGCAACCTGAGGAAAAAAATTGGAGAACAGATATGTGCACACAGCCTAAATGTATGAGCACTGTCCCAGGGGTTTTCAAGATACAAGGAATGCAGGATTTTGCCATTGAAGACAAATAACAATGTTTCTGTAGGGAGCATAGCCTAGTGCAAAGAAGCCCCAAACCAAATGTTGCATAGGAGGAAAAGTGCATTGATTTTTTAAAAAATCTAAATTATACAGAGACCACACATAAATAAGCTCTCAGTTCTCAATGTTTTAAGAAGTGTTATGTGTAAATATATGATATGATATAGTTGCCATCACGGAAACATGTCAGGATGACTCACAAGTGGAGTGTGCAATGGATGGTTATAAACTCCTCAGGATGTATAGGCAAGAAAGGAGAGGCAGTGGGGTAGCTCTGTATGTTAAGGAAGGAGGGTTTAGATTGTTTGGAGCTTAATGGTGGTGACAATAGGGTTGAGTGTTTATGGGTAAGAATCAGGCTGAAGGCCAACAAGACAGATACCATGGTAGGATTGTGTTATAGCTCATCCAACCAGGATGAAGCGGCAGCTGAGAGAAGTCTCACAATCGCTAGCCATTGTTCTCATGGGGGACTTCAACTTACCAGATGTCCAATGGAAGTACAATACAGCAGAGAGGAAACAGTCCAGGAGGTTTCTGGAGCATGTGGATATTAGCTACCTGACCCAGCTGCTGAGTGAGCCAACTAGGGAAGGCACCCACTGCTGTTTGTGAACAGTGAAGGACTTGTGCCTGATGTGGTGGCTGGAGGCTGCCTTGGGCACAGCGATCATGGAATGATAGAGATTTTGATTCTCAGAGAAGTAAGGAGGGCATCAGGAGAACTGGTACCTTGGAATTCTGGAGGGCAGACTTTGGTCTGTTGAGGAACCTGTCTGACAGAGTCCCTCAGGAGGCAGTCCTGAAAGGCAAAGGAGTCCAGGAAGGCTTGACATTCTTCAAGGAGGAAATCATAAAGATGCACAAGCAGGCCATCCCCATGTGCTGAGAGACGAGGCAGCTCCTCATGGCTTGGATGGGTGTGCACTTGACTGGGTAAAAAACTGGCAGGCTGTCTGAGCCCAAAGAGTGGTGGTCAGTGGAGTTACATGCAGTTGGTGGCTGGTCACAAGTGATGTTCCCCAGGGTTCAGTGCTGGGGCCAGTTCTGTTTAATATTTTTATTAATTATCTGGACAAATGGGATTGGGTGCACTCTCAGTATGTTTGCAGATGACACCAAGTTGGGTGGAGTGTTGATATGCTTTAGTTGTTATCATATTGGGATAATTAATATAGTAGAATTTGCAGAATTCTGATTTAGATCAAGATAATTATATTCTGTAGTATGTGGTCCCCAGAATTTATGAGTTTGGGTTACATGGCTGAAATCTTTTTCATCTTATTTTGAGAACAGTGCCTTGAAGTCTTGAAAATCTTTAGGTATTCATTAAAGACAGCTCTCCTCCTCTAGGAATCCTATCTCTTTACTAAAAAACAAGATTTCAGTTTGCAAGGTTCCTGGAAATGAGTAGCTAAGAAGTATTTACTCCCCTCAGAATTATTATTCTAATGACCAGGCTTTTGGTTTAGTTTTCCTTTTTGGTGGTTAGGCTTTTTAACTGGTTTGGTGTGCATTAAAGATGGTTATTGGAAGAGTAGATGAATGAGAGGATTTTTTTTTTAATTTCAAGGATATTTTTTAAAGTCAAGGAGACTTCTCTAAAGGGTGGGATACTTAATACACTGGGCTGTCTGCAAAACTGCCTTGTCAAAAGGAAATTATCAAGCTCTTAGAAAAAGATTAGGGACATTATGTATAGAACTAGAGGACTTCTGTCATTTTTTGCCTGCAGTGTAAGTGCTCTGCCAATGTGTCAAAGTTTGATTTCTATTTTTAGAAAGTGCTAGTGATCTTTTGTTTCTTAAGAGGAAATAACGAGATAGGTCACAGAAGTTAATCAAGCTATTTATTGCAACAATAGTTGAAATACAGTGGACTTTAGACTTCATGCATAAGAGATTTATTCATAGAGGTTGTTTGCATATGAGAAGTGAAATGTATTATGGATCCTTCAGTTTAAGCACATGTAACCTCAACATGGAGACAATAGAATAGTAGATGTTAGTGAGCACATATTTATGTATTTTTGAATAAGTGAGATTGTTAAAGACTGTAAAGTGTTATATGAACAAGGGGATCTACTGAATGAGTATAGTTATATGTTTATAGTGAAATGATATTTCAAGAAAGCACCTTAAATTCATCCAAATAACAAAAAAGAGAAGTAAAAAGAGAAGTTCAGTTAATTGCTGCAGATCTACAGAAGCTGTAGAAACTTCCAGACCTGCACAGGTTATATATAATTTTAAGTACAATGGATATAGCTAAGCACTGCAGGTTAGATCACCCCTCCAAATACACAGGTGAGTCCCTGATCCTGTAAATACTTAGTATTTCTTATAATGTAATTTGTATAGTACTGTAGTACTTCGCATAGCTACCATGATAATTCCTATTTGCCTGGATCAGAGTGAGCCAAATTCTCCTAATATGAATGAGGTTAACTTTGATGAACTTACTTATAAAAGATAATTCAATCTAGAAAGTAGTTTCAATGCATAATTTGACTAAAGGTATAAAAAATTACTATTGGAGAGAGAAGGTAATTGTCGGATTACTTGTAATATACTGATAATTTTTATTAATGTTAATATTTTTGTTTTTGATATGAAAGATGGTTAGATGAATATCAAGATGATGGGAAGACTGAGAGGGAGCTAACTGCCAATAGTAAGTATTTTGTTGAAGAATATTGTTGTATATACTTAATATTGGTGTTGTATATACTTAATGCCTATTTATTACTGAAGAGCCTTTTTGGATAAGACTTTAACTTAAGAAGAAAAGTGATAATAAAGTTTGCTTACATTTATTTTTTTTTTCTGCTCATATTTTAGAGGATGACAGTTCAATAAAGACATTCCTTAAAGGTAAACATTGTTTTCTACACCGTTATTTTTGCTGTTTGAATTCAATCTGCAAATCAGTATTGTGACAAATACGTAACCACATGACCTCAATGTATACATATACTATCAACTTTGAGAGAAAATGAAGATAAATTGTGGCAATAGTCTATAGGAAGGACTAGGCCTTTATAAGTAATTGAGAAAAACATGCTGCTCATATACTATTTCTGTTTTTCTTCATATTTCTACTATTCTATCTTGAAATCAGCCAGGAATTCCACTGAGAAGAGATTCAAGTGTTGTTTTGTTTATGCCAATATCACTGTCATTTAATACATGGGGACAGGTCCCCTAGCAAATATCAGCAAGTTGAAAAATGTGTTGTGAAGTGTCAGTGGAAACATTTTCAGGTCAAAATCCATCAGGGTATTCTTGAAGTAGCCAGAAATAATGCAGGTTTAAAGTCCATATCCGTTAGTGAAGCTAAATATAGTATATGCATTCAGTTGAATTAATACAAAGATTTTAATAAAAATAACCCATTTTTTATACCTACAAACACAGCCTCATCACTGTAATATGCTTGCATCTCCAAAGTGTTTAAAATTTGAGATACCATCTCTGGGTTTCTCCCTAACCAGAAAGGAGAAACAGACCAACAGAAGTATTTTTGCAAAAATTTAACTGTAAATGTATATTCTGTGCAAGTGTGTCTGGGAACTGGATGGGAGAAACTAACTTAAAATGCCCCCAAACATTTACATTTGTCTCTGAAAACAGTGACTTGCCTTCTGTAGCATGAGTCCACATCTCTCAGTCTAATTCCAGTGTCAGTGAAAATTAAATCATTTATATTCAATCAAACAGTTTAGCCAACAGCATTATTGTTCCGTGGCAACAGAACTTTGACAAGAGGAGACTGATTAACTCAGGTAAGACAAGGCTTTCCCAGAGAGAAATTTGATTCTCATGAGTGATTTGCAATAGGATTCTGCATTCTGCTAAGTGCAGAGTTCAGAGATGCAACCATAATATCTATTTCACATTATGTTAAGAAAACAGATGATATTTTACCAGTAATCTAAGTTTTTTTCCAGAGCAAATTCATTCTCCATTATGCTATAATAAGCAGGCACAGATGCACAAGCTGCTGAGAGCCTGTATATGTCAAGAGCAGTTAGACACAATATTTTGATTATGAGGAGAAAGGAGTGGCTTATTCTGAATCAGTTTGTGAAATATCACACTGTCAAAACATCCAGGAGAACCCAAAGAGTATGTGTGGATGTCTTAGGTTGAGATCAGAGATTCTGAATGATGAAGGTATAAAGGAGAACATTTTAATAAGCGTTCGGCCAATTAGCCATGCATCAGCTTAGCTTGAATTGCTCTTTAGCCATCTTTTCTTCCTCCAGGGGCTCATTCCAGTGGGGAACTGAGATAGGTGAGAAATTGTGCTTTTATGCCTTACGTAGAAAAGATGATCAGTAGTACTGATCTCAGGATTGTTCACAGTTTAAGTTGTATTTTCGTACTGGTTATATCATAGACCTTGCATGTGAAAAGACTGAGCTTCATAGGAGGGTAATAATCACAACAGGTTTGGAAAGCTGTCTTGTACTCAGTTCTTTGTCAATCCATCATGGCACAGTTCTAGGGTTAGAGCTGATAAGAGAAAATTTCAAAGATGCGGAGTCTTGGAAAGAAAAATAATTGCCTTAAATTCTCCCAGCAGCTGTAGCAGTGAAGATTTCACATGGTAGAGCAGATAGTAGTGATAAGCAGTCCCATTCACAGTGGAAGTGAAAACTTTCCGTACAATGTACATTTACTGAATAAGAGGCAAGCAGCAGTGTTGGTTTAGGGAGCCGATGTTTAATGTATTCATGTGGTCATGTTCTATGTGAGCTTCACTCTGCAGCTGGGCTTCAGAGAAAGCCATAAAAAGTTGATTGGCATAATTCAGAGTTTATTTATTTTTCGGATAAGATCAATGTGCTTAGGTCAAGGCTAAAGCAAAAGTTATAAAACAGAACACTTTATAAGACATTCTGAAGGTCAGAAATCTCATTCTCTTTGGTTAAGGCTAGCAACTTGTTCAATCACATAGCCAAGGAAGAGAGTTTGAAAGTCGTCATTGCAACATAGGTTACTTGAGGGCTCATGGTCCTTTTTCAGCCAGGCTGGTATTATGCTACCTTCAATGAAGAGTAAATCCCAGATCTCTGTGAACACTGCTGCTGGCTATGGATTCTGACAAAATGCAGTATGCCCATAACAGATTTTCTCAGCAACCTTTGTACATCTGCAGTTTACATCTGCTCTGGCAAATAAGGCATAGACATGGATTTATTTGTATTCTTGTGATTCCACCTTTTGATGGAAGCTAAAAAGACAAAGTGTATTGTCCTGGTAGAGAAAGCAGACATCTTCTCTCAGCTCTCAAATAATGAAGTTTTGAGGGAGGACAGGACTTTGCATCACTCTCTAAAAGTTTCATACATTGTAGGGAAATTTTCCTACTTCATTCTCTATTTTCTCTATTTCATTTCCTTTTCTGCTTCAAAATAGGTTAAGACATTTCTCTCAAAGCAAGGAGGCAAGACACAGTTTATTCCAATGTTGTCCACACTGCAGTCATTTGAAAGGAGATAGGTTCCTGTAGTGTGATTCCTGTAGGGTGCTCTGTGGTATTGTGGGCTTTTGTGAGTGGTGAATAAAATATGGTTCAACATCCATGAACAGAATTCAGTTAATAGATATTGATAGGTTGGCTCTTGTGTTGTGCAAGGTTGCTAGTATTAAGATACATAGAAAATTAATAAGAGAAAATATTCAGTATATTCTCACATGACTTAATTTGGTTTTAAATTATTCTCTACCTTACAAGTATCTGTTAATTCAGTAAGAATAATCGGAGAATTCCCAACCTGTAAATGGCTTGGTCCTGCTTCTAAAATGCAATAACAATATATATTGGATGCTTAATTTCCTAACAAAATAAAATATCAGACTGGCTGCTGTGCCTCAAGGCAACAGAAATTCCTACAATCCCCAGGAAGTAAGCAGCCTGCTCCTACATCTAACAAAGTGTGAATGTCGTTTTCAGTCTTAAAACAAAAACACACCAGAGTAAAAAAAACTGGAGTAATGTGTTATAAAAATGATGGTGACAATCCTCTAAAAAGACATAAATTGTTCATATTAAAAAAAAAATCCAAACAAATGAAAATAAAAACAAACCAACCAAAGCCAAAACAAACAAAAACCAACCAAGCAAAAGAAAATCCCCCAAAAACATAAAAAAACCAAAACAAAACAAAAAGCAAACAAAAACCAAAGAAACAAAAAAAACAAAACAAAAAAAAACAGGAAAAAAAGGCTTCATTTTCAGTTTCCTGAATTATTTTATGAAATGTTGACTTTATGTTTTACCTTGCCCAGTTTGTTATGTGCAGAAGTCACTTCAGGCTTTATTTTCACAGTTCTACTGAAAGCATCTTTCAGGTTCCAAACCAGTGGTTAAAAGACTTTCTGGAAGGAAATTGATATGACTGATCCCATTCAATTTATGAAAGTCAGCAAATGACCCTTGGTTAAATTATTTTAGAAAAGAGAGAATTCCAAGACATTTTATTTTGCAGAGTGTTCTGTTTTCCCCTACCATTCATTATAGCAGTTGTCAGATAATGAAAATGGTTATACCTTTACAAATAAGCTAAAAGTACAATAACACACTAACAAACTAGTCACACTGAAAGGAAATTAAGCAAGCAGATCAGTATTACCAGGGAAAAAGCATCTTTTTTAATGTGGCCATGAATATGAAACACAAGGTGTTTAAGCCCTGCTATCTGATTTCCAGAGCTTCAGAATATCCTGAAAAGAGATATAGATGAAAGAGATATAGAAATCACTGAATACAATAACTATTTGGCATCAGTCTCTTTCTTACCATCTTACCAAGTAGCTGTCTCAGGGAGTATAATATTAGACAAAATATTTTTTTCTTATTCTGGCATGAGCAGGTTAAATGGATTTGCTGAACTGAGAGAAAATGTAGTCAGTCTGGGTTAGCTCAGTTAGCAAATTGTAGAAGCATTAAAAGTAAATGTAGGAGAACAGAGTCACAGATGCTAAGAGGCTTTAAATCTGTTAACCACTGATTTATTTCCTGGAAAACTCCCAACTGGTGTCTTAGCCTGTCTTCTGAAATAACAATTAAAAACATAATAATGGATATTAATTAAAATAAATCACCTTGCCTGAAATACCTTCTCTAAACCTGCTGCCTCTTTGAGCAGGAAACAGGCAGTTATGCATCCATGCTTTCTCTTAACTTGGGGCTTGCTCTCTCCTGAAGCAAAAAAATATTACAAAGAGAGGGGAAAAAAAGCTCACCTGGAAACACAGTAATTATCTTAATTTCCTCTCTGCTGTGTTCCTGGGACAGCCTTCAAAACGGGGCATGGTTGGAGAGGATAAGAGGTTCAGGGCTACGTTGGGAGCCTTTGTAAAAATTTGAAGCTGCTCATAAACAGTCGGAGTGCTCAGGAACAGCAGAAGCTCAAACGATGCTTGACTTCACCAAGTGTGACACCCTGAAGGGTACCACATGCCAACCTGGCACAAGGAGATAAAATTCGAAGCTGGCACATATATCAAACAACAAAAGTTCCTCATTAGGCAAAATGAGGATCTTCCACTACATCTGACTCATTCCTGGAAATGACCTCAAAAAAAGAGTTCATATGGAAGGATCTTTTCAGCTAGTGTGTTACTCTGAGAACTGCCTGTGAGATGTATATTTGTCTGCTGTTTTGTACCTGAGCCCAGAAGAGTCAGGGAACAGTCAGCTGTAATTTGGAAGCAGCTTTTGTAACAAGAGGGAAAACAGAATGAGGTAAAGAAAACAATGTGAAAATCAAGGGAAAATTATAAATCAAGAAAACCAGAACAGGTTTTCAGCCAGTCTCCATCTCCAGGCAGGTGGGCAAAAAGAAAAGGTATGAAAAAAACACATGGTACTGTGAAAAAAAGAATCACATCAGATTTATTTCTGGAATAAACTATTCTAAAATTCATTTTGTCAGCACATTGCATTGCAGGCTTGCACACAAACACAAAAATAGTTCTTTTCTATTAATCCCATTAATACCATATTGTCACGGTACTGGTCCCAGTCTAAACAATGCTTTTGATTTCCTTCCACTGTTAAGTTCCCTTTGTCATGCAAGATCAAGTGTCTTTTCTTCAAATAATTCATTTGAATTCAGGGGAAGATTTACATTGAAGCAGTTAAGTAACTCTAGTCTATACTGTCCATTTAAGACACAGTATTTTTTCCATACCTGGAATGGTTTTCCACAGCTTCTTGGTTGCATTCTGACTCAAAATACTGTTCTGAGTCAAGGTCACCTGCCAAAAAAGAATCTCTGAAACACCCAAGCTGTGAGTTGAGTTCAGTGCAAACACCTCTTTGGAATTCCCTAAAGCTTTGAATGATCTGATCTAACAAATGAGCAGACAGAGTATGACAAGTAAGGTTAGAAAAATCTGAGTTTAAGTCTCATTTTTAACAAGTTGTTAAACTTAGCCATCAGTTTAGCCACCAGTTGTTACAAATAGACCACATACAAATCTTTCAAAATGGTAGTTTTCCTTTTCATGTTACATAAGAGCACTTTAAGAAATGAAAACTAGTAAATTAATTAAATTTAATTAATTAATTAATTAAGTTGTAATTAGAGCAATTATTTTGTTATAAAGAATACAAAAAACTAAGCAAAGAGCCCTTGTCCTGATTCCTTGTTGTTAATTTCTGTTTTCATACCTACTTCAACATTTGTCTTCTGTTCATCAAGTCTGGTTTAAGTTATCTTCAAGAGAAGGAATTACTGTCTTTTTTTATCATTATTTATTAAATAGGATGTGAGTTCATAGAAATATTTAAATTCTTTGTTGAAATAATAACAAATACATCCATTGCTCTCTGCCATTGATATTACAAATGTTTAATTGTTACATTGATCCTAAAGATGTTTTCATTTTGTTTAGCAGAACTGTGGAGAGTGCAGGTTAAAACAGACGGAGATTCCCCAAAGCCACAGGAGTGTAAAAGGACCCTTGTGATTTATGGCTCAAAGGGAAAAAGTGGTGAGCTTTTGCTTTCTCCACAGACCCCAGGACATGTGTGCTTTCTACCCAGAGCAACAGATGAATTCATTGTAAGTCATAAGTATACAGTATTACACAGAGCTTATAATGGCATTCCTCCCTAGCCTATACATTTTATATCATTTTGTATTTTTAGAAATATATATATATATGTAAATGGAATGCTAGTTTGATGGGTACTAATGATGTATTCATTTACAAAGATGGAATGGTATAACTTCAGATTTTGGGTCATCTTCTGCTGGTAGTCCAGTTCTACTACAGCCAGCTGCAGTGTTCTATTTGAAATTTTCAAAGTGCATTTAAGGGTGCATATCATGGAGAAAAATGCTCCCATTTATTATCTTCACCTTGCATATTATCTTCATCTAGCATTTTTTCTCATTTTCTAAGAAGTCCTGCATTGCAGTTTGTACAAAAGGCAACATACAGTTATTTGTGAATGCAGAAGATGAAGGACTGGACAGTATTCTTGAGGAACAGAAGTAGGCTTTTCTTCCCTTTATTTTGGCCTTTGTAAAGCAGTATACACTCTGCCAAAATAGTTCTGTCTCTTAAGCCACCAGGCAGGGGATTTTTCTGGATAATCATATATCACTGGAGAATGTGTTCACGCATATCAAAGTGTCATGAACCCTGAAGCAATAGCATATATATCTGGCTGGTATTAAAATCAATCCTAACACAGTCATGACTACCTGTCCACCTGTCATGCAACCTGCTGCTTTGAGAGGATTCATCTGAGGCATGTTTTTAATGTTCAAATTCTGTCTTGGCTTCCTAGGCTAAGTCACTACAAATTCTGTTGATTGGCATGAAGTACAGCTTCTAGCCAGTCATGAGAGAAATAGCTTACAATTCAAGGCAGTTCTATAAAGCTCAGAAATACTTTTCAATGGCTGCAATAAACATTCTGAAAACAATGGCAAGTCTGCATTTGGAAAATGTTATCAAGGCTTTATTTTAATGACCAGATCCACAGTAATGACCTGCGTTTTTAATTTAAATAACAAACTAAAGCAATTTAGGTACTTTACAGGGAGTAAATGAAAAGAAAAATGGCACATCTTAAAGACAAGAAAGCAGCTGCTTATTGGAAAACAGACAGAAAACACACTGAATGACAAAAGGAGCCATTGACATTAACTAAAGAGGTCAATAGAGGCAGAATCTGTCTATAGAGAAACCAAACCAGCTGGCTGAATTTTGGCAAGTATCAATACATAAAGCAGACCTCTGCTACAGCCAACTTGCTGGTAGTTTCCCAAATGGCGTGTATTCCTTGTCAAGACTGCCTAATTTCAGTGACTGTGTACGATGCCAGGAGAAATTAGTATTGTTATGTGTCAGTCGTTGTTGTCCCTCGCGGTCTACTATCCTAGGTATCATAGTACCATAACGATCGTACTGGGCTTCCGCCCCAGGAGCTTTCTAAATGCTTGCTCATACTTTGGATTTAGCTTTGGGTGAGTGTCTATATTTCCTCCTTAGCTATTTGTGTTCTTGTTTTATATGAAGAGGCTAATACTATTTGAGCATTGTTTACTGTACATGAAATTTTGTCTCTTTGCCACATTGCTTACAGTGGTTTACAATTCTTGTGGCATTCTGAGGAAATTAGAATAGTGGGCCTGATATAAAGGAGCATTTGGGGATTTACAGATATCTCCATAAATACCTTCATGTCTTCTCTTGGTGGTTCAGCTAATAAACCCAGTTTTGTTTTACTCTCTTTTTCTTTGTTCTTACTAAAGCTGTTCAGAAGAACACAGAAGCTTTGCTCATGTTCTCCCACTGTAGCAGCAGGTTGCAGGAAGCATGATATTACCAGGAGGACAAGCTATGAATTCAGTTTTCCAACAAGCAGAAGCAAATGAACTTTTAAACCCCCTCGAGATCCTGGACCTAGGCAAATATCCTTAGTAATATAGCACAGTAAAAAGTACAACAGGTTATGTGCTATATGCAGTTTATATTATCCTGAGATATAAGTTTAATTTTAATCTCGGAGGTATATTTATTACACACTGAGAGCAAGAAGGCATGTAATTCCTGATTTTCCAGGTGCTCTCACACAGATATATGCACAGATGTGTATCATATTCAGAATGACTCTTTGATCCAAAATATTTCTAACCAGCTCCTATGAAAGAACAGGTGTAGTACAATTGCATGTAGCAAGCATAAAGAATAAATTAAAAGAGATAAAATAGCAGCATGCTGCCTCGTACAGTTGTTGGGTTTCAGTGGTCTCAGGCATTTTAGTACAGTGTGTGAGCTGCTTAAATAAGAATAAATTTAATTATAATTCTTTATTTCTAGTGAATAAATTGAGAAATAGTTGAATATGTCAAAGTTATTGATTCTGCTATTAGTTCAAACACTAAAGATAGCATGGCAAAGAGCCATGCCATCTCCCATGAAAAATAACTGGGAAAATGAAAGTAAACAGTGCAGTAGAAGAATGTTTTTCCTTGATATTCTGCTGATGATAGAAATCAGTTGTTGATCTCACGTGGAATAAGCAAATTTGTAAAGTATATATGTCTTTCTCGCAGTCATCATTGTTTCTGATGGCTTACAGAGTAATCTTCTCAGAGCATGTCTTTGGAGAGTCCTAGTGTATCATGCCCATTCTATTATCCAGAGAATCATAAAATGCAAAGATACATCAACTGGCAGATCATGGAATTGGGATCCCTAAAACTACTGTCTGAAGCACTAGTACAGTTAGCATGAAATGAACAACAGAGCTCTTCAAGTAGGTCTGCTCATAAATACTCAACAAATACAGAATATATTTTGTGTTAAGGGCTATGACAGAAAATCACATAATGCAATACTCCATGTGCTTTTCACAGTATGAGATTAAGCTCCAAACCACAAGCAGCAGAATTTCTGGACTTCCTGATAAAAAGCTGTTCAGCTGCATTTTAGGGTGCTTTAACCACATATTTTTAACTGGAATAATTTATGCACACTTTTCTTAATTATTTTTCTAACAGGAAAGTAATAAGGAATTTAATTTAAATGTGCATCTAAACAGTAAATTTTACTATTTACAGCTTTAATTACATCAGACATGATGTCTTTGGAGAAGCCCTGTGTAAGTCAAAAAAGAAAAGATTTAAAATGTTATGAAATTCTCTAATCATCTTCATCAGTTACCTGTCCCTGAGAGCTTCAAAACCCCAGTGTCTTTGCCAGAACATTCTCTTAATCATAAGAGATATGCTTTTTCAATCATATTGAAAAAAATGGAAAAAATATTGTTATGTTTAGTGTAAGACAAATTACATCCAATTCAGCTAAGTTTTCAAGTACTGAATATTACATAAAACTATTCAGAAGAAATAAAAGTGGAAAAATTAATTAGGAAATTATAATATTGAATAAAAACCAAGGTAAAGTGTCCTCTTGCAAACATTCTGCAAACTTAAAACTAGGATATTCACTGGATATATACTTTGTGATGAATTATTTGTCTGTCTTTGATGTAACATGAAGATCATGTTACATCAATTAATAGGCATTGATGGAGGGAAAAGCTAATTATGCGATCAAAGATAGGATATCATATTCCAAAGGAAAACTGATTGTATTAAATAGTTCAGAAAAGGCTTACAAGAATGATAAAATGGCAATGCTGTGTGGAGCTGAACAGAAAGGCTAATAATGGCCAGAACTGGGGGGGGTGGTGTGGCAGAGGGGGGCAACACCACACCTGTGAAAAGGGGTTAAATATCTAATATACTTGGTTGAAAATGGTGATTAATTCCACAGATCATAGACAGCATGATTACTAGTGCTTGTTGGTTCAAAGGCAGTCATGGAATTAATTGAAATTGTGATTCTAGAAACAAAATAGGAAATAGTGGGTTTTAAATAGTTGGTCCTGTATTCAGAATGTTTTTTCCTATATAACTCATCTGTGCATTTCCTTCAAGGATTGTACAAGGATTGCAACATGTATTTATGCCTAGAGAATTGCAAATTTGTGTGGCAGAACGCAAAGTAAAATGTAAAGTACAGCTTGCCCTGTCATATAAATATAAGCAAAATCTGTAATGTTGCAACTCCAGACCAGAGAGCTTTATGGAAGAAGTTGTGCATGGCATTTAAAGTAGGTGTGTGATACAACCATGAGGTCCATCTACAGGAAAGAAAATCTGCAGGCAGTAACTTTACAAGTCAGTAGTGTGGTTCTGGAAGAGAAGCAGCAAAGATTTTGTTGCCTGCAAAGGAACCGTAGTTTAGATGGGTGAAGAACCTGTGCACTCTTCTCTCAATGAACCTAAATAATTCCTGTTAAGTTTAATGAGATGAATGCATATTTTAGGAGGAATTTTGCCCATGTATTTCCCTTTGATGGTGCAACACTGGGGACTGTGTCAGGAACCTTTGAGGATGAAGTAGATCCAAAAGGTATATCTCTCCTCAAATGTCCATTATAGTCTGGGGCAGCACTGAATTCTGTATACATGATGGCATACAGACAGGCAGGGCAAGCTAGACTTAGAGAGATGACAAGTCTGGTGCTGTCTTTCTCAGAGTAAAGCTATTGCTGTGTGGCTATTGTGGATACTGTGGAGTTACAGTTCAGGAGCGGAGAGATTCCCTGCAGCCTTGGAGCTGTTGTAGAGACAGTGCTAGGAGTTCTTCCCTCATCCTTAAAGAACAATGCCTTGCATCTTGAAATTTTGTAGGAGTGGCATAGCAACCACTTATGACAGTTAAGAAATTCAGACTGGAAGGGTTAAGTTATGAAGTGCAATTCCTTCCTACCATAAACCTCAGTTCATATATTCTACATCAAAAACAATTCTAGCTCTTGTGAAATTATTTTGGCAGATTGCTTTGTTTTCTATTAACTGTTCCTCTTCATACTGTGATGTTTTGCTATTTCTTATTTGCATAACAGATATTAAGGAGGATGGCCAACTCTCTTCCAAAATGGTTCCTCCCTAATAAGTAGCTGATAATTCCCTGCAAATATGTAGCTGCTGTGCAAAGGCATATGAACTAGCTTTAAGCAAGCTAGGTAAGCAGTGAAGGGTTGTCAAGTTCAGAGCTCTGTTGAGAAGCAGAATGAATCAATCTGTTATAAGGTCTGTATTCTGTCTTAGGAGACAGTCTGCTGGTAATGCTGCTGGTCCCAGGGCAGGACTGTGTGAGACTAACTTCAGTTTCTTACTGTGGTGCCACTAGGGGCTCAAAGGATTTATTTCCTGGCAATGGTTACCAAAGCTTATATTGTGACTAGCCTGGGGAAAAAAAACCAAGCAAGCAAGCAATATAGGAGAAGAAGAAGGCTACTGGCAACTCCTTCTGTTTTGATCCTTCTAAAACTGTTACCTTTTTAAAGTAATAGTTTTGTCTTGTTTTGCTTGAAAATCGCTTCCCACCCTTTCTTGTAGTTGCCCAGTGAAAGACTGCAGCACTCCACTTCCAGGTGTTCAGAAGACTTACTAGGCAGTGGTTAATGTCATGCAGATCATTAGCACTTGTTGCAGTTTGATCATCCCAGTTCCTGTGACCCTAGGTTGAATTGTTTAACTAGGTCTCACAGAAACCCACAATCAGCAGCCAGCTATTGAGTTTCCCATATGTAGTATGGGAAAAGGGCTGTGTCGTTCTACAGTTACTCTGTAACATTCATGATTTACTTTTATGCAGAGATAGCCTCTCTCATTTCCAAAGAATTTGTTATAAAGTAATCTCATGTTCTAAATCCAACCATTTTGGAAAGGAGAATTTGGTTAAAACTTTCTAGGCTCATAGCAATTATCATTAATTTTAATACCTAACTTGGCTGCTGATATCAGAACCTTTAAGTTAATGCTCTCTTTATCCAGTAGGGTCAAAGCTTTACATGTTACCTTTTGTTTGAAGAACTTAAATGCGTAGATAGATGTTACTAATTTTAACCTTTGCTCACCCTAATGGTAGGGTACCATGCTTACAATACTAACTAGGGAACGGAGGAAAATAAGGGAGACAATCTCACCCATGATCATACAATGAATAACAGAAGGATTGATTCTCTCATCACACTTACGCCCGCCTCCAATACAGCTGTCCCATTGATTAATGTTAAGTTTAGGAAGTCTACACTTCTCTGTAAGTTAATCAGTATGCTGACATTTCTTCCTCATGATATTTGTTGCAGGTTGAGACTGGAGATCTGGGAGATGTATACAAGATTCGGGTCAGCTGTGATGATGTGCCATGCTTTCAGGGCTGGCATTTGAAGACTTTTCACTTAGAAGGGCTACATACAAAACAAGAACTGAACTTTGACTGTAACTGCTGGCTCTCTCTTAACAGAGGAGATGAGCTAGTGAAAGAATTCCCTGCAGTCAGGAAGGACCAGAAAACTTTACAAGGTAAAAAACACCGAGGAAATATAAACAGTGTAAACTAACGTCTTGAAAAGAAATCAGTACCACAGATATAATATAGCACTTTGTCAGGATTTGATTTCTTCAGTGGCTCTATTGCAACTGTCTTCATATATGCATGGCAAAAGTGCTGACCACTTAAGAAATTGTAATTTTCCAGTTAAGCTGCATGTTGGTTTTCACTGTTGCTAAGTGTCCTGTGTGATTCTAGGTGTGCAAAATGAACAATATGCTTTTTAAAGATAAAGCGCATATTCAAGGAATGGAAATGATTTGTGGTGGGCTTACTATTTGCCTGGGGGGGAAGGGGGAAGGAAGGAGGGGGAGTGAGCAAACTAGTTGTGTGGTTTTTCTGAATTACTGACTGGACTTAAACCAAGGCACTATTAAACTTAGCTTATAATAGCTTTAGTTATTAACATAAGCATCAGAAATAAGCCTAAAAAACCCAGGTTTTTGTTTTTCCCTGAGGACAATTTTTTGACCCGCTGAGAGTTTCAGAGTATATTCAAAGATGCATTAGAATGTAAAGACTTATGGACTTACTTCATTTATTCAGAAAAGATAGCAGTTACACGTGAGACAACAGTGATTAGAGACATGACTGCTTTTCCAAACTGAAGTTGCAGAAGTTCTGGTCCCTGAATACTTCAAAGCTATTCACAACCTTAAAAGAAACTACAGCATTATGTTATTTAAATGTTCACTCAGCGGGACTGTACATTAAAAATTGCATTTGAAAAATTTTGGTCATTCTTTTTGTATGACTATGAATATATGTGCAATTTAACAATCCTCCTTGGAAGAAAATCTAATTTGACTGTGTAGAACTGCATTTATGCAAGAGCACTGTAAAGGCAAAAAGTTTATAGTTCCTGTCATGTACCTTAATAAGTGCATTTTATAAATTTTTATACTTACATGTAATGAAGCACAGCATCTGGATACATCTGTCTTTGCTATTCAAATTTGCATAAACTTTACACAGTGTGTTATTCTTTGACTTGTGATAGTTATTATCTGCTGCAAAAATAATTCAGTTTCTGACAGCCCCCCAAAACATCAGATGAGGTCTTATTTTTCAGATCTTGCACAGTAAAATAGAATTGGACAGAATTTATCTAGGTTTTAGTAGCTCTAAACTGCATAAGTCTAAATTGTCCAAGTCCAATTTCTTTTGAATTTCAATGGAAAGTAATGGAACATCTTCATTGTGCTTAGCATGAAGAGATTGGATTCATAAAAATTAACCTATTGAAATCATTGTGTAGCAGTTTTTTTGGCCACTGCAGAAATAAAGCCAAGGAGTAGTCTTACTAAATACTCTGCGTTGCAGTTTTCTTTTAAGTACACTTTGTAGATAATCAGTTTGATTTAAATTTTCTTTTCTTTTTGTACAGTCTATAAGTATGTTGTCTCTGTACATATTGGTGACCGCTGGGGAGCAGAAACTTTTGCAAATGTTTATATCAATCTCTATGGCAAAAGAGGTGACACGGGTGTGAGGAAACTTCATACATCTTTATCAAAAGGAAGAAAATTCCAAAAGAATAAGGTAATAGCACAAAAGTGCTGTTTCATATGCTCAGGTGTTCACAATGCATTAATTGGAACTTAATGGCTTTTCAGAATGCATCTTGCTACAGATGGGCAAGAATTTGAAAACACAATTTATCTTTCAGGAGTTGACAGTAGATCAATGCTAGTATTATTTCCTGTACAACAAGAACATCTGTATGTGAAAATAAAGGCTCCACATAGGACACAGCAGATTTTTGGGGAGAACCTTTGTGTTCATGCTTCTTACTTCTTCCATTCCAAATACAAGACAGCACAGGTAGCAAAGAATTAAAAATCAATGATTCAAAGTAAATTACAGAAACTGCTGTGCAACTTTTGCAGTCAAAGATATTTCTGTAACAAAAATCCCACACGAAACACTAACTCAATGTCCAGTCAGTAAGTTTAGACAAGAGAAAAGAATTCCAAGAGAATGCACATAAAACCAGGGTTTTTAGATGACCAATAAGATTCTTCTCTTGTGTAATAGGCTTTCCTATGAGAGGTTCACTCACTGAACACTGAAGTCTGAAAAAGTTCACTGTCAAGATGTACATTATCAAGGACAGTCTTTGATTTCCGTGAAATTATTTCACTAGGTGGAATCCATAACACTGGGCCATATAGAGAAAACCTAGATTTTTTACAAAACAAGCAAGAATTTAATAAGGCATATAATTTCTTTCTTTGCATTTCACGTTTTTCCTTATCTTGTCTGTATTCTTACCCACTGATGCTGGTGTTTATTTCTCTTTTGTCTTACTCTGAATTCTCCATTCTGCTTCCCTTCCCATCTCTTGTCTTTTGCTTAAATTCTTCTCCACCTTTAACTTCCTCCCTTCTGTTGTTTTCTCTTTTCCCCATTTGTGATTGCTGAAATGATTCATATTGTCTAAAGATCTAATGAAGTTATAGTGTGTGGTTAATGATGAATGTGGGAGTCAATGTTAGGTATAATCAGTGTGTGCTTTCTTAGATTCGGAGGGGATGTTATATATCAAATATAAAAAAACTCACACAAATTTTAAACCTTCAGCTGAACCCAAGACTGTATTTTCCCTGAAGTTCAAGCATATTCAGATCCACTTTAATTAAGTTTTCCCCTTTTTTTGCCTTTTTTTTTTTTTTTTGGTAGGTGGATTCATTTTTGGTGGAAGCTGTTTCTCTGAGTCAGTTGAAAAAAGTGGTCATAGGACATGACGGAGAAGGGTACGGGGCTGGCATGTACCTCAAGATGGTAACAGTCAAGGAATCACAAGACTCAGACAAAGAATGGGTCTTCCCATTGTGGAACTGGCTTGATACTCATCTGGGATTATGTGAGACTGTTTGTGAGATTGTGACAACTGGTAAGATTTTCTGCAAATATATGCATACACATATATAAATTTGGCCATAGCTCTTTCAGCTCTCTATAGTATTTTTCTTCCATTGAAAACTTGAATTTTCGGTTAGATCTTACTGTTATAGCAAACCCAAATCTGGTAAGGTTAAAGTGAATAAAATCCCATCCTGTCAATATATTGTCTATGGAATGCTTGCCTTCCAAATTAAATGTAGCACATTGAAGTGAAAGCTCTCTACTCCATGCTTGTGAGACCCTACCTGGAGTCCTACATTCAGCTCTCGGCCTACAACATAAGAAATACCTGTTGGAGTGAGTCCAGAGGAGGGCCACAAAGACGATCGGGGGCTGGAGCACCTCTCCTGTGAAGCCAGGCTGAGAGAGTTGGGCTTGTTCAGCCCAGAGAAGGCTGTGGGGAGATGGTACAACAGCCTTCCAGTACCTAAAGAGGGTCTACAGGAAATCTGGAGAGGGACTTTTTACAAGGGCATGTAGTGACAGGACAAGGGGGAATGGCTTTAAACTGATAGAGGGTGGGTGCCCAATACAGATAGCAGTTATTCAGTAGCGTGTTGTTTCTGTGTTGCAAAGAGTACATTTTACCGAGCTGTTCCTTTCCATACAATGGTTAAAACAGAATGAAAATGAAGGAAAACAGCAATTAATGAAGAAAAAGGGAGGGAGATAATAATATTGATCTGAGGATATGGCAAATATTTTTGTGCGCTTATTATAGGTTTATGTGTCAGCCTCACACTATTACAGTATGTATTATATAGCTAAGATCTAGTTACAAGCAGAGTTCATTAGTATTATACATTTTGCTTTAGGTCCCTACACACTACAGATGGCTGGTGCGTCTAAATGATAAATTAGTTTTAGTAACATTGATTGCTTTTTTAAGAACAATTATTTAGAACTCTAAAAGGTGAGTGAATGTTCTTTTAGCAATTACTTCTGAATATGACAAGGAAAATACCAGGGCATCAATAAAATACTTCTGAAACTAAATTTTAAACACAGAATGAAGATTAAGTTGTTAAATTCTTCACGAAAATTTTACTAAAGTTTTAGACGTGTTAGTGAACTGTTGTTATAGATACAAGATAACCTGCAAATAAAGCTTTATTTGTGTACTATAAAGGCTATGGTCCTGCTATATTATGCCATTCTGTCATCTTTCCTCTTTCTGTTTTATAATTTTTAAAGGCAGAAGATTGACTTCCAGTCCTAAACTTCCTGAAATCAACATGACGACGTCAGGTCTCTGGATAATGGACATCACTGGATCTGACTTGAGCAATGAAGAGGATCCAATATCCCTTTCTTTTATCTTTTATGGCAACCTGAGTCACAAAAAGTTGCCGCTTCAAGTTACAGGAAAAGCAATTCAAATCAAAGTAATTCAAACTTTCTCTACTGAAAGAAAAGCCTAAGAATCATGTAGCCAATAACACATTTAATTCTGAGATAAATTGTTTCTTTCAACTAAAATACCAAGCTGATTTTTAAGTCTTCTGTGTAGTTGGCACAGATTGTCATTTTTGTTTGTAGGTAGTAACACTGTCACTGGAACAATGGGTTTTGAATAAGCAGATTCTCCCAGTGTCTCATACTGAGAATGCTTAAGTGAGCAAATTGGTCCCTTGGTGCATATCGCAGTATATACCATGCTGTAGGTACTGATTTGCAGGTTTTGTTGATCTCACAGAAGTAAGTACTTTGTAAACTTAGGAGATACTGTGGGATACTATGCAGCTTTTGGGGCTGATAATGGCAAAGGAAGAATCATAAATGAGATTAAATCTACAGAAAGTTAATTTTTCTCTTTCATGTAATTTATTCATCCCTGCCACCATATTTCTTTGAGCTATCTTGCACGTTTTCTCTCTTTTCTTTACCTGTATCTCTTGCCTTTTCCTCTTGATCAGTTTCTTTTTACCCACAAGTTTTCTCCTCCTTTATTCAGTACTTCTACCCTTCAATTGTTTGTCTTGACTTCCTCCTATTACCCATTAACTGAAATATTGACAAGCATCTGAAGTCCACTTGAACTGTAGCCTGCTTCTTTTCCCAGTGCTCTTATTTCCCTCTTGCAGCTGTAATTCCTTCCTAGTGCCAACACTGTTTTACTCTTATGCTTTTCTGGTTTTGAAGTTCAGTAGAAGGAACTGACCTGAAGGTAAACACTGCAGACACATCCTCTGGCTCAGGAAGTGCCTGAGCCACAAAGTGCTAAAAGATAGGACAATATTCAAATGAAGGACTACTACTTGTTCTGTTCTTGTACAGCTTGTTCCATCCTTCTGTTGTCCATTGTGGGTTTTAAGGAAATGGCTGATCTCTGTAAGAAAACTTGAAGTTTTAACCTTATTTGTTTTTTCAGCCTTGGTTTTAATCTTAGTTAATTCATCCTGCAGCTGCAGAAGCAAACATAAGGCAAGACTGAAGGAATGGGAGAAAGTGGGCAGGCAGGGAATTAGGAACTTGACAAGTGAGCTTTGCATGACAGAAATGTGTTCATGAAGCTATATCCTGAAAGATGTTTCTTCAGGATTGACTGCTGGAACAGAGGAAGCAGGTAGTAAGAATAAATCAGGGTTCAAAAAAAGGGGTAAAGAAACCAATAGGAAAAAGCCCGAATAATGAATGAAAATAGATTACTTTTGATTTTGGTGTTCATCAGAAAGGAACCTTAGTTTGAACGAAGAAACTATTTCCTGGTTCTTCTTCTTACCAGCCAGGTAAGAGCTTAATGATTGAGCTAAAGAAATAATTGGCTAGTTTTCGATGTTCCTTTTTTCTTTAATGAAAGAGGAACTAAGCAGACTAGTCTAGGCCCTAAACATGATCCAAAGTGAGGAGTACCCAGAAGATTTTCCTGAGTTATTTCTAAGAACCTCTGGTAAATGTGAAGAAATAGTATGAAACATGAAGTGCACTGTCAGAGGAAAGGCTGAAGTCAGGTCACATGCACTTCTAGTTAGGCAGTATTTGAAATGAAATAGCAGGGGAAAGAGTATGAGAACTGGAGAATAGGAAGAGGAAAAAACAACTTCTGTATTCTCCTTTCTTTTTCCCTTACAGTGAAAAACTACTCCCTTAATAATTAAAGTTATCTAAGGCCTCCTCTACTTTTCGCTTACTTGCATAATGGTATGTCACAGAGATGCTGTACTGTCCCCAGTAGAACTAGAAGATTTTAGTAGACAGCCTCTGTATGAAAACATAATGTAGGGTGAAGATGAGGGATTTCTTAGATGTTTTCTCAAAATCAGATTAATTCTCCTTCAAATTTATAATTAATTGCACCATTTGTATATTACAAATTGTAAGAAATTTTTCTAGTAGTGTTTAAAATTTTTAAAATAGACTGAAGCTTTTGTTCCTGCAAATAGTCTGCTGAATCAGTGTAATATATATGAACACTGTGCCTTGTTCTGTGCATAAATTTCAGCAGTGACTGCCATCACTCGTTCCCCGATATCAAATCTCAAGTATTCCACCTCCAAATTCACATTAGTAAATCAATTTTGTATTGATTAGAAAGGGGAAAAATAGTAGTAGTTATAAATCTGCCCCAATTCTTTAATTACTGAAGTTTGTTCAACTACAGCTGTCAACTACGTTTGGTCTGGCACAGTTAGAATGAGATCCATTCATCTTCTCTTTCTCCTCACGCAGGATGAATTGGCAGATATTGGCTCAATATACAAAGTTCAGGTAACCGGCCCGCATAGCGTGCTAAACCAGCCATGGCACTTGGATTTACTGCATATGAAGCACACAGGCACAAAGGAAGAAATGTATTTAGCTTTTGACTGCTGGTTCAACCCTAACGAAGACAAATGTGTGGAGCTGCCAGCTCTCTATGCAGATGAGGAGCCTTTGCCTGGTAAGCTAGGCCCTTTTTTGTTACTGGGGTCAGGATCTGTCACTGGAATACCAGTATATCTCTTCTGGGACTAAAATAATGTGTGAGGATTTCCACAAGAATTTGGTATTAAGGAATTTGATGTTTTTGTGCATGCATTTATCACAAAAGAAAGCTGAGAAAACAAATTATTGGTATCAGGATAATGACAGATGCTGTGACTGCTGACACCAAACATGGGATCTTGCTTCTTTCATGTTAGATGATGTTCCAGTTTTAGCTCTTGTTTATGCGTTTTCTCTTCAAATTAACACTGTGTCAGCTGAAGATGTGTACAAAGTATAATCTACTGTGTGATATTGCCTAAATCTTCCTATTAAAAATGTATTTGACCTAGAAATAGTTATTTTTTTAAAGAATGAAAGAATTGCAAAGACCCCCTCAAAACAGAGATAGAATTTTTGAAGTGTGTAATAATTAGAGAGGAAAGGGATATCCAAGAATTTAAATTTCACTGGTGTTTTATTAATGGACATGAGAATTTATAACACAGGAAGAAATATTTCTCAAAAACATATATGAAGTTGTATGTTGAATGTTTCATTCCTGTTAGTAACGTGAATTTTATGATGCCTGAGAGATAATAAAGTTATTTCTGCCAGCCACTCCCCCCACCCAGGAATATGGAGAGAAACAACCAATTGCATACTGATAACTTGGTCACTAGCTATTTAAGAACAGGATTCCCATCTATCCAGCTTATTAAAATAAAGAGGATTGATGGGGATAGTAAAGATCACATATGGAAGCTTTTAGTGACAGTTAAGAGGTTTTTGCTAGAGGCTATAGTACAAAGATGTTCTGCTTAAACAGAAACTAATAGAAAAAGATGGAAGTGGCCCAGAAAAAGGAATAAAATATTCCATGTGAACTTTTGCACACTATTCTCTAAGGAGATTTTCCTAAATATTTCATCCCATTAAAAGCTGAAACTTGAGCAAATAAAACACTGGAGACTTTTTAAATCTCTGGGTTTGTGTGGGGCTTGCATAATTTTAAACAATTAATAACATTGCATTTATTTACTGAAAAAATCTTATGATTTTAGGGTTTTGATATGTCAGATTCAAAATTACTTTGGATGCAATATATACAGGATATGCAATCATGAATATTATAAATCTAGAGTCTGGTAAAAAGCTCTATTTTCCCAATTTATTTATGAAAAAAATTGGGAAAATTATAATTGTTCATAAATATATTGAGAATTTGAAATTGTGAAATACTTAACTACATGTAAAAAGTCCATAAGTTCAAGTAAAAAAATTGTAGACTACATCCCTCCAAGCTTCTATTATTCTAAGAACCAAATTGAGATACTACCTGTTGGTATTATCCTGATTTGTAAAGCAATTCAGTTTTGAGGTATATTACAAAATGAAATTGGAAAATTATGAAGAAATGGGTAGTGTCTACTAGCCTAGGATGCTTTTCACAAACCAATTTGTTGAGTGTGGTGATCTACAACTGTAGATCTATTCTTTGTAATCCCAGTACTAAATCAGTCTAAAATTTCTATCAGCTTCTTCTTTGTATTCCAGTTTCAATGCTAGAGACAAAAAATATTAAAAAAAAATCATTTTCATGTGTTTGCACTCATTATTGCTCTGAATGAGAGCAATGATGAGATAAATGAGAATGTTTATGGTTATGTCTTTAATGTCTTGATAGAATAAATTCAAATAACAACAAAAGTTTTGAGAGATATTGATCATAGCAAAGCAAATTGCATGTATATGACTCCATAGAAAGCAAAGTAAATATGAAAAACTAAGCATCCAAATATACAGTAACCATTATCAATATAAACAGTAATTTTTATCAGTAATGTCAATTGCCTGGTTGTAATGAAGACCATACTAATATAATTACTTCTCTTCTAAACAAAGTGATTCCATAAGATTTATCATGGCAAAAATAACTATATATTCTAATTAATAATCTTCAGGATTTTATTAATTCAGTAATGATTATGTGCAGGACATAGATGTGTATATTAACATACTGAGACAAAGTCATCACACAACAATTAACTGCTGTTAGACTTCATATTTCTTGATAATTTCTAGATAATTTCTTGATTTTTAGAATGTCATCATTTGTGACTGCAGTTGAAGGCATGTACCAGGAGATATATACAGCAATAGGTGCTTCTGAAATACAGCACCCTGTCCCATTTGCATTCTCACCTCTACTATCTTATCTTTCCAAGGAGAACCTGACAAGCTATAGAGAAAAACAATAACAGGTCTTGAGAGCTCCAACAGAAGAGTTCATCTGATAGTTCATTTTCTCACTCCCCCCCCCCCCCCCCCCCCCCCCCATCTTTTCTTACTGTTTTCCCCCATTGGAAAAATTACCTGCATTGCCTGGTTTTATTACAAAACTAAAATCACAACAGTGCAGGATGTTTAACTATACCTCTGACATTGAGAAAGGATGTATCGTTTAAACTGTTCACCCTTGAAAGGCTACTGAGAGTTCTGTGGGCAAATGTTACTGAATTATCACAATAAATGATATTTATAGTATGTAGTAAATTCCACAATAACAAAAAAGAGAAATTCAAAGCAACATCATCTTTAATTCATGTTCTTTTTCCCTGCCTTTTAATGAGCTCCATGATCACTTTGAGCTTTTAATGATAACTTTCAGTTTCACATTATGTTGGTTTACATCTGAAATAGAGCTTTTATCAATAGGCGTGGGGAGAGACAAAGAATAGCAAGGTTGTACAGAATATCTTATTTTCATAGATTTTTATTGTTGGGTTATGCTGCTTATCTGATAGTCAGAATAGTCCCACTCACCCTAAAGCTTTTTACCCCATTTCCCAGTATCCTGTCTATGTTATGCTTTTCTTCATAGGAGTTACTTTGTACATTTTTATTTCACTTACATAGTGGAAGTTCTTTCTCTGATCCAAAACCTCTGAAAGTCAATGGGAAACGTTTGCTGTGACTAAAGTTCAATGTGACTACATTGAACTTTAAATCATGCATCAATAGACTCAGCAGATTCAGCAGAAAATACCGACTCAGACAAAAAAATTACGTATGTTTCTACCTTTCAGTGTTTATCTCGTTTGAGTACTACCTGTGTGATCAAACCTACGCTCATGATTAAGTATATTAATGATTCTGGACAAAGGCAGTAAAGATGATTGTGAACACTGTAATTTCTAATCTATCCCACATGAATGGTCAGATCTGTAGACCAAATTCTTCTGATCTTATTCATGCAAGCAGCCTTTTGACTTCAATGAATCTGCTTTTATGACCAAGCTACACAAGCAAGGCAACACTCTAGATGATTAATACAGAATCTTACCTTCATATCCTAACTCTGCTGGAACCAAATATTCCATTGGCCAAGAGTCAGCTTAACATCTCATGTACTTCCAACTATCTGGATCTCCCATAAGATAAATTGTGAGTAGCTACACTGACTTTAAAGTAGCTATGTTGTCTGTCACCTGGCAGTGCATATTTAACTGCCTTGAAGAAAGGGATGAGATATTTTAGAGCCCTAGTCTAGAAAACCTCTTGGTTTACTTCTTATCATCAAACATGAGTGATGCCATCAATTGCAAATACTTTTCCAGTTCTTGGTTTAAATAATGAAAAAGTAAAACAAAACCAAAAATAAAAATCTCATGGGAAGTCCCTGAAGGAAATAGTGCTGCAGTGAAGTTCCTTTTCAGAAAACAGATTTTTCTCACATGTCATCCCAACATAGTAAAAGATAAATTAAGACATTTCAGAAGTTTATTGCAATAAGCACAGCTTTATTAGCGAACTGATACAGCACTTATTATTTAATGAATCCTTTTAGATATCAATTTTTCAATCAGTATGCAGAACCACCCTTTAGAACCCTTGTTCCAGTTATGTGACCTTTTTACTTTAGACATATAAAGAAATAGTTAAATAAGATGTCACAATATTTGAATTCAGGCTTTTTGATTATAGCACTCAATATGAATAGCACCAACTTGTGAAAAGAGCTGTAAGAAAAACTTAAAAATAAATAGCCTCAGAACACTACTTTTTTTTTTTTTCTCCCTGTTTTCCTATCACCTACACATGAAAATAAATGACAGTCTTCGCTTCTGGGTTCTAAGAATCATTCTCAACCTTACCAGAAATTTCTCATAATTATATCTTTTCAAAGGATGTAGAGATTGGTTAAATTGGGCCATTTCTATCTTGGAATAAATCTGACTGAAGAATAAAACTGTACTGAAAATATCAGATGTTTCCAGAATGTATACTTAGATATTTGTGTATCCTGTCGTGTATTTTATACCAAAATATGTATTTCAGACTTGAATTATGTGTGTTTCAGTGCTCTCTGACTTGAATTGTTGATTGTGAGACTGCAAGTACTTTTTAGTTTCTCCTTGGTTTCATGTCTGTCTAAAGCACCATTTCCCTTCTTTGCACACATGTGCTTTCTGGGAAAGCAGACATACAACCAGCCAGGTCCCAGGTAGGGGTAAGTGGCAGAGGCAGAGAGAGTTTGGAAGACTTTCTCTGGCACGTAATTGTCACATAGTCTAGATGTCTATGTCTGCTTTACTGTGCCAGTGATGAGGGTTGTGGGAGTTGGGGCTGAATAATTTGTAGTAGTTGAAAATAACTCAGGACTTGTAAAATGTTGGATTTTAAGGGTGCTCAGTCATTAAAACAAGAAAAAAAAATCAATCTTGAAGCTTGTGACAGAAAAGTTCAAGAGATCCTGTAAGCACTCCTGAATACATTCTTGGTATATGAGCACTCCTTATTGCCTACATTCCAAGTGTGAGTTTGCATTTTACAGTGGATAAAAATGTTTGCTCCTTACAAAAAAATTAGAAAATTGTGTTTTACAAACCTGTGTTTCTGCAAGATTATGTTTTTTTTTCTTAGGCCAAAGTAATGATGCTTATGGTTGGCATCAGAGGAACCTTTAGACCATCTAAGTTTAGACTCCTAAAGTCTCTAACCCTAGCATATATGGGAACCCATCATAAGTGTTTTCTACAGCACCTGCCTTTCCCTGATGGCTACGTAAGGATCATATTTCTAGTTGTCCTGAGTTCAGCAGTAGCAGTCATTTTTCTTCTTCTTAGTAGCAGGTGCAGTGCAGTGTTTTTGACTTTCATCCTGGGAACAGCACTGACAACACCGGTGTTTTTAGTTACTGCTCAAATATTTACTCTGACCAAGGACTTTGTGAGTCTCATGCTCTGCCAGGGAGGAGGGGAATCAGGGAGGAATCAGAGAGAGGACACCTGACCCAAACTAACCAAAGAGGTATTCCATACCACAGCACATCATGTCCAGTAGGTAGAACTGGGGCAGTTACCCGGAAGGGCTAGGTCACTGCTTGGTCGGGCTGGGTATTGGTAGGCAGGTGATGAGCAGTTGTATTCTCTTCTCTTGTTATTTTCTTTATCATCATTATTATTGGTGGTAGCAGTAGTGGTTTGTGTTATACCTCAGTTACTAAACTGTTCTTACCTCAACCCATGGGAGTTACATTCTTTTCGATTCTCCTCCCCATCTCTCCGGGAGCGGGGGTAGGGAAAGAAGGAGGGGAATGAGAGAGAGACTGCATGACTGATTTATGGCTGACTGGGTTTAAACCATGACACTAGTATAGCCACCAAAGTTAGATTCCTAACGTGACAGCACCAGTATTATACAAATGAACACAGATTTACAGATTTATTATTGTAATCCAACTAAGAGTAGACTTACGACACTAGGAGGAAAAAAAAACCCAAATCCACAAAAAAACCTTCACATTTTTTCTCTGGGCTTCTCCTTAAAATTGTGCAAATAATGATGAATCTTTAGATCGTGATCTGCTCCTGTTTAAGTGTTTCCTTGTTCACTGTTTCCATGATGAACTCAGGGCTAAAATAAATCATTTGAAAAAGGACCATAGGAGTTTTCCATGAAGTTTCTTTGGAATGCAGTCTGGTCTTATCATGTCACTCCCCTGTGAATTACATATGAAAGAGGCAAGGTACAGGTGCCATAGGTGCCTTTTCTAATCTCTATATGATGATCACAGCTGAGAAAATAAGAAATGCTTTTCTTTAAACTCAAATTTCCCTTACCTGGTCTCTACTTGTGCGTTTTTACATAGTACACCGGAGGTTCTTTGAAGAATCATGCAAAATGTGAGGAGGTTTTTCTCTTTATGTAACAAAGCTGATGTTGAGAGAATTTCTAGCTAATTATTTCTGTTCCATATTAGCATGTTTTAACTCAAGAACACTGTAATGGCATTATGGTCTGACTAGTAAGCTTGATAGTACTGATGTGTTACTTCATTGGGTGATATTTTTAGGAGTTTAAAGCTTACGACAATCAGGTCATAGCATTCTTCTAAACCACCCTAAAAGTATGAGCTCCCATTTCATTTCAAGGAGAAAACAATAGACATAGAGGAAGAAAGAAACAAAGAAATATGAGTAAATAGAAAGCAGAACTTAGACTTTCCAAAGAGCATGAAGTATTTCTTAGAAAGAAATTTCCTACCTTGGGAGGCAGGGAGCAGTACATAGGAGATCCTGTCTCCCAAGCAGCAGCCAGTACTGCTGATTTTCTGGGAATGGTAAGTTGTGTCAGAGCAGAAGAAATCTGTTTTCTGCAGACTACCAAACAGGGAGTTTTATAGCAGGGATGCTGTCCTGGGTTCAGCAGTAGCATTCATTTTTCTCCTTCTTAGTACGTGGTGCAGTGCTGTGTTTTTGACTTTCAGCCTGCGAACAGCACTGATAACACCGATGTTTTTAGTTACTGCTCAAATGTTTACTCTGACCAAGGACTTTGTGAGTCTCATGCTCTGCCAGGGAGGAGGGGAAGCCAGGAGGAATCAGAGAGAGGACACCTGACCCAAACTGACCAAAGAGGTATCCCATACCACAGCACATCATGCCCAGGATGTAACTGAGAGTTACCCACAAGAGCTAGGGACTGCGGGGTTGCATGAGGTATCAGTTGGTGCTCAGTCAGGTGGGGTGGAGTGAGTTATCAGTCGGCGGGTGCTGAGGTGTTGTATTCTCTTCCCTTATTTCCTGTATCATTATTATTACTGGTGGTAGCAGTAGTGATCTCTGTTATACCTTAGTTACTAAACTGTTCTTATCTCAACCCGTGAAATTTGCATTCTTTTGATTCTCCTTCCCATCCCTCCCAGAGCAGGGGGAGGGCAAGAAGAGGGGGGAGCGAGTGAACGAGCTGCGTGACTGGGTTTAAACCACAACAGATGTGTTTTGGATATGTATGTCACGAGGACTGAAGAAACCTGTATTCTTTGTTCTGTGGCACAGTGTGGAATTCAGATGAAACTGTCAATTGTTTATGCCATTGACAATGCAGGTTTTGGGCAAGGAGCACTCGTGACTTTTTTCTTTTTGCATCTGTATTTTTTCTGAAGTTGTAGAATATGCAGTCCATTTGCACACGGGAGACTTGAAGAAAGCGGATGCAACTGGTGAGGCATATCTATGTGTGCAAGGAGAAAAAAGCAACTCGGGGAAACGATGGCTTAACTCGAGAAACAGCGTGATCGCTTTTGCTAGAGGGCAGGTAAAACAATGAGAAAAAATATATCTGAATCTCTGAGTGTCTTTTTGGTAGAACTTTTGTTTACATAGAGCATTTCATGGACAGTATATCAAAAATACCAATGTTTTGTGCTCCACATAGACATAATTTTCTCTTGTAACTAAAAGGTGATTGTCTCCATAGGTAATGTGTTGCTTTTAAGCATCATCAGCATTGTGCAACAGTGAAAGTTAAGCTGATGAAATAATTTTGAGTTGGACTAAATATACAGTAAAAGTTCTATTTTAATATTCCATAGTTTTAAGGCCAGGGATGTGTCAGGGGTTTATGAAAGCACTGTTAATATTTCTCTAGGATATCTTGCCTCTTTACTTACTTTAGACCATGATTTTTTCTTATTAACTTTCCTGAAGAGTTTTTTTTTTGTTTTTTTTTCATGTTTCAAGTCTTGCACTCATTTTAGCTTTTGAACATTGCAATCATATTCTTGTTTGTTGAGGCTTAAAGAGCTTTTCCTAGAAGAGTAATTCCTGGAGTAGTTACTGCCATAAGAACAAAGTACTAAAACAAATTTCAGTTCAGAGGAAATATCTATTTCATATCAAAAGGAGTTGTCTAGCTTATACTTTACTGGGCCCTACTGTTTGCTCTGCGTTTAGGTTTGGAAGACTTTTTGTTTTAAAGGAATCGTAAAATCATAGCAAAGTATATAGGAATCTTCTTTTGGGGAGGGTAGGAGACTGCCTACTTTTCATTGCTGACAGCCAACCCCGATTGGTTTGTTCTCTGATGTAGAAATTTAGAAAAATCTGCTTGAAATATGCTTCATTTATTCTAAAATAATGCCTCTGTTTATTTTATTTGTTTTTCACTTCTAAAGGTTCTAGAAGACACAATGTTTTTTATATGCAAACCAAACTAAATCTTTGTTATTCGTTGTGTCCTCTGCAGTCCTGTATTTTCTTTCTCTATTATGGAAGAGAATATGCATGTCCAATGTCATATTTGTCAAGAACAGATAAAACTGCCAGCTCAGACTTCATAAAATAATGACAGAATAGTAGCACTCATGGCTTTAAAGAGTAATGTAGGAAATTTTATAGATTGATCTTTTTGGTGTTATATATAAAATAGTTACATATAGTATATCTTAAAGATAAGAAAATAAAGACTTTATTTTGCAAAAATATATGTTAAATTTTATTTAGGAATAAAACTTGTAGAGAAAAATATGTGTACAATATAATTGACTTCTGTGAATACTTACTCCAGTAGAAATATAGCTCATCTGCAAATTCACAAGGACTTTTTTTTGTATAATCCAGATTTTGTGTCAGTTTTTTAATAGGCCTGTTCAGGAAGCTAAATCCTTCATCTGAAACTCAAAGGGCTTTTCTATATCCTGAGCTATAGCACCTTAATCTTTTTCTTATAGATAAAATTTTGTGTAGCAATTGTTTGGATGTTCATTCTCTCCCAGTTTTCTTTGCTTCACTTGGCCCTCAAATGCCTAATTCTCTGCTCCTAGTTATTGTTCTTTTTTTCTAGCTGACTCTTGTAGTCAATATGGTTTTTACTGGTAGCATGATTTTTTTGGTACGTCATTGTACTTGGCAGCAACTATGGAAAACTATGCAAGAGAGTTTTTTGTTTGTTTTCAAAGCCCCAGATGGGTCTGCAACTTTTGTCTTCAAGTTGCATTTTTGATGTAACCTTTCCAAGACAAATTCGTCTTGGAAAGATAGCTTATAAAATCACAAGAATTAAAACAGTCTTACTTGTGGCGTTTTTATTCTGAAGACGGTTTCCCAAAAATGTAGATGAATCCGTTCATGAATAGTATGTTTCAAAACCTCATGCCTTCAGGCCCAGTTCAAAAAGGCCCATTTCAACAAATACACACATTAAACAATGTGTGTTCTCAGTGTCAGTGTGCGTACTTATGTGAGTTTTCCCATTGATTATAAAGGAAGATGAGCGCACAAAGAAGACAGGCATGCATATGGAAGAACATGAATATGCTGCAAAGATTTCCATTAGAGAAGAAAAAGAATATTCCCTGGCATCTATTCATCATTCAAGTCTGCTGTATGGGGAAAAATTTACCTCTTATAGAGTTAGCTTAAATGAAAAATCCCCATTCCAATAGCACAGTGATTAAAATCTTCCCAGCTACTGTTCCCTTCATTCCCATTTACCTGCCTAATTCCACTAAATTAACCATGAATTTTAGTGAACATTAAACTGCTTCAGATTTTCAGAATTATTAGACCCTTACTGTTCGTCCGTTTCATTGGGAGTTAGGTTCTGGATCAAAACTTTCAACACAAGGAATAATTGATCTGATTTGGTTATTTCAGCCCATGAAGGTACTAGAAATGAACTCTTTACTCCTAGTGTGGGTATCTGATGTTTCCAAAATTACTTCCTATTAAACATAGCAGCATTTTGAAATTCATAATTCATAATATTAAATGGATAAGAAACTATCAGCTATAGCATGTAATGTTTAATTATGAAACTCAAAGTCAATGGAGTGGCATAAATGAGATAAATTTGCTTCCATTGAGATACAAAACAATGGCCAGACACACAAGGCTTAAACTGATAAATATTCAAATGCAGTGTTGTGGTTCAAGCCCAGCTGGCAACTAAGTGCTACCCAGGTGCTCAATTAACTTCCCCCCTCCACAGTGGGATGGAGAAGAGAATTAGAAAACAAATAAAAACCCATGAGTTAAGAATGGTTTAATAATTGAAATAAAAGTAAATTATACTAGTATTATAAAAATAATAATAGGAAATAGAGAGGAAGGCATAATGCCTGGATCAGGTGTCTTGGCTGCACTCCCTCCTGGCTTCTTGTGCTCCTCCTTACTGACAGAGCATGAGAGACTAAAAAGTCCTTGACTCAGAGTAAGAATTACTTAGCAACAACTAAAACATTGATGTGCTATCAGCATTGTTCGCAGACTAAAGCCAAAACACAGCACTGCACCAACTACTAGGGACAAAATCAACTCTATCTCAAGTGAAGCCAGGAAAAACAGATACATATTAACTAAAATATGATTTTGATTATTTTCATATTGCAGGTGGATATTTTCAAAATCAAAGCAGTAAATCTCGGCAAGCTGAACCAAGTTCTTGTTGGATTTAAGAGTCTGAAAAAAGGTCAGCAATGTTTTTCAGTTAATGTATGGTAATAATAATGTAGATTACCAGACTTAGGAGATCCTAGAGCTTGAGAAATGTCTTAAATTTAAGTTTAAAAATCACAAGTGTTTTTTTAGAAGTCCTAGAAAATTTGAAATTTATCTCTATTTTCTGCTTTTCATTATTTCTGTTGAATTATATGCATCACGTATCCAGCTGGGTTTTACTAAAACGTGCAAAGGATTCTTAGGAAGTGTAACAATATAAAATGATATGTGAAACTTTTCCTCATGAAAGTTACTATATATTTATGACTACAGTCAACAAAGTTTTTGTTTTTCAGGAAGCAATATGGCATCATGCTTTTGCAATTTTTGACATTATTTTCGTCCTCTTTATTTTTAGGTGATGGACATTTTCATTTTAAAAAATTTTTTAGGATTCAGTGCTTCTACGTAAAGATAAGAGAAAGTCAGTTCATCAGAATGGCAGTGGAACATGGAAGAAATGGCCTCATAGCTTGTTTTTTTCTTCTAACCCATGAGAAATATATTCTTTTTAAGGGATTGTTCATATGTGAGATTGAGTGACAGATAAAAAGGCTGCACTTCCTGCAGTATTTTTTCTTGTCTTCCTTCCGACTCCACAGCAGCTTTTGGAGTTAAAGAAAATTGTTCACTTCTTAAAAATAAAAAGCAACAGCAAAGAGCATCATGAATCAATATTTTCTTTAATACTTTGGCTACAATTATGGCCTATTGTTTTTTTAAAGGCAACAGAGCAGAGATTCTGCAGATATCCTACTTCTGCAGATAATGTAGATGATTGAAAACGATAAGATTGTTCCAGAGCATGATAAGCTGAGTCTCTTGTTCTTTTATCTTTATCAATAAAACATGACCATAAGATGACTCTGTAGGTTAAACTCAGAAAAACTGGTTTGGAGAGTATTTCTCATGTATTTCCTAGATGGCAACTTTAGAATGAATGGCAAAATTTTCATTGACTTCTCCAAGGCTTGGAGTATAACCAAGTTTACCAAGACTAAAAGAGATCTGAGTCTTCAAATGCTTTGTTTGCAGATAACCAAAACAATGGTCTCAATCAAGGGAAAACCTTCAGCTGTGCTTATCTGACAGCATAGAACAGCACCAGAAAGAAAGTTGTGTTGAGTGGATTTTCTGATCCTTTTTTCCTTTAGGACAGTGATAATAAAATTTCCTATGGGGGACTTCTTGTATCTAGGCATTTCACACAGGAGCTTTTCCATCCATTGGGACAATAATAGGTCATTAAATCAAATATATCCCTATGTTCAATTTCAGAAAATCTGTAAAAACTTTAAGACTTCTTTGCTTTGTCTAATATTTTGGAGTGTAGGGAAAAAAAGAAAAACACATATGCACACAGCCAATTTATTTTCAAGAGTCTTATTTCTACAAGAAGGTTGACAAAAGAAAAAAATTCATTGATTTTCTAAAGATAGAAACTTCTGACTGCATACACAGAACATTTTGTTGTTTAAAAGGTATTAATTAATAATGCCTTGCTTATTTTCAATCAGATGAGTGGTTCCTGGAAAAAATTGTTATAAAAGAAGTGTTCTACCCTTTTTCTGCACATGTTTTTGTTCACAATGACTGGATAAATAAACGCTCCAAGACAGATTTTGTAGAAGTGGCAATTCCACTCAAAGGTAATACCAGCAGAAATGTCTTTCTTCTGCATGAATCACTACTCCATGGCAGAGCAGGCCAGAACCAGTGCAAGGCTGCTTCACAATGTATGCAGAACTGAGCATTGGTACTCCAGTGGTGATGGGCAGGGGCCTGGACCAAGGTGAATCATGCTTTCTATAAACAAAGAGGAGGAACTTATGCCTGAGATGCAGAATATGGAAATGAATTGTAGTACTGAAAGAGCCTTCTCTGGCAGCATGTATCCCATCCTTAGAGTAATACAGAAAAGATAGACATGGCTTATGCATGAGTGTGACATGGGTTCATGAAGCAGCTGGCTTGGTTTTCTACACCTCCATTGGGTTAAAATGAGTAATGAGGGGTTTGCAGCTTTGTTGCCTGACTTGCCTGTGCTAGATCCAGCACTACCAGGCAAAGAAATCTTGTATCTTTTGGGTTATATTGCCTTATAACTTAGACATGGATCTGAATGTATGTCTGTTTTCCTTCAGAAACATCTGTTGCACCTCTTCCCATGAAAAATTTTGATACTAAAAGCAGGGGACGATGGCAAACATGGGTGCACTGCACACAACTACCAGAAAATGTTCCTGATATTCAAGTTGTTGTATTTGGAAGAAAAGGGAAATCCACTGCACAGAAAGTTCAGAATCTGAATGATAGTCCATTTTTGGTCAGTTTCTTTTTTATTTCACACAAATCTCATGAAACTGTTTCAATAAGAGTTGTAGTCAATGTACATGAAGTTATGTGGAATGATTTTTTATTTGTCAAAGTTAATGTTTATACCTCCATGTCTTAAATAAACAGCACTTGGAGATCTCAGGTGTGGGCTAATACATATCACTTATGAAAGCTCTCTTGAGCAGATGCCAACTTTGACATGGAAAGCCTCAATAACTTTGAATTAAGACTAGTAGGCCTCAACAGTAAGGCAATAAATAACAAATCTATTCCACACTTCCTTTATGTTCTGCTTCTCAGACCTCAATTAATACATTTTCACTACTTAGAAGCTGTCCGTCTTTACAATGAGCTTGGGCCTGGGCAAATATCTGTTCTGTAGTTTGCACATGAAATTCATGACAGCTTCTGGACAGGTGTGTGAACCTTGGTCATGATTTCAAAAGGTTTTTATTCTTAAACATGGGAAAAAAAAAGTCATCATCCAGCTTTTGCAGAAAGGCAATATAAACATCTCTTGCTCAACTGCTGCAAGGTGATAAGATACAAGGAGAAGTGTATGATACAACTTGTGGAAACCAGTCATCCTTTCTTTTGATCACTAAAGTAACTGAGAACAGAACCAATAGCCAGGGCTAAAAATCATCTTGTGTTCAAAATTTCAGTTCAAGTTTGAAAATAAAGATGTGATGGAGAGGAGATAAATAGGAAAGTGACAGAAAAGAATAGTAATGTGTTTTGGTTTGGAAATACAGAATCAGTCATACATTTCCTTGCTTCTCATATGTTGGCCTAGTCTCTGCAGCCAATTCTCTCAGTTAATAATAAACATAAATTGTGGTACAAATGGCACTTCAAATTAACTTGCAATCTTAATGGGACTTCCGCACCTTAACATTAATGTCCTTGACTAGTATTTTTACTTACTTTACTTGTCTTTTTACCTGAGCTTAAAGAGTGTCATGCAGATTCTTACATACTTTATTTTTCCTTTATTTTTCTAACAGTTGACTGTTGATGATATTGGAGATATAACAAAAATTTCCTTTGTGTTATCTGGTCCGTGCTTGGAAAGAGGAATTAAACTTCATAAGGTATGCTAAATACACTACATATAAACTTGTAATATTCTTCATAATACCAGTAAATATTGTTGAGAGATAGTTGTTAGTTTTGCAGCACACTAACAAGGCATCTTTTGGCTCACTTACCTGTTATCTACAGACGATTGCTGACAGTTTCCAGATCTCTTTGTGGGCAGATCTACCTTGTTTGCACCTGCTGAAGTGCATATAGCTATGCCTATTTACTGATGTGCAGATCCTTGTCATGACACGGAAGGCAACATTTTCTGCTGATGTTAAGAAATGTTAATCCCTCCCAAGAAATACCAGCAGTCTCCTGACACAGAGCAACCACCTTTTGGAAACTGATTAAGCTGATCCTTTAGTATTTATTCATTGCAACACACTCATCAGTGAGCCTTAAACATCTGATTGTAGTTTAATACATACTTAGGCTCTCTCATAAAAAGGGTTGGAGAAATGAATTAACGTTGTCAATCTTTATAATTCAACTAGATTGTAAATGTCTACCTTTTCCCAGCGTAGCTAGAAAGACCGAATATAAGGTGGGCCTGATAATACTTGGGCTTGGGGGGACTACTTAAACTTGAAGGTTAATGCAAAGAAAAACTGTCTCAATGAGCTCTGCCTATAGGTAAGAGCCAAAAAGCACTGTGGACTTAGCACTGAATTATTCAAAAGTCAGTATAAGAATGTTCTTCTGAACTGGGCCACACAGTACCTTAAGCCTGTTATGGATTTAAAAGAGCAAAGGGTGATTCTCTAAATGAATAAACAATCCTGAAACTGTTCCGATGGCAAATGCTAGAGACAGCTGTGCTCCATTCTAAAATTTGAATGGGTTTATGGTACTCAGAAGAACATTAAGTCTGGGTTTATGAGCTCTAAGAATTGAGGGGAAGTTTATCTTGTTCGTATTTTCTCCCCAGATGTGTTCTTTGTCAGCTAATTTTGTAGTCTCAGATTAGACTACAAGCATGGAAAGAACAGGTAACAAAAATTAATGTTTTGTTTTAAACACACATCTCCAGGCCATTTGACAAAGCATCCAACATGTTGACGCTATCCTCGATATATCCATTGTGTGATTATGTAATATATGATTTCAGACTCAGGAACTGCTGACTCAAAACAAGGCAGAAAATTCATAAATATAGTAGCTTGCTTTCTGCTTTCATTTCAGAGATAACCCTATGCAAATGGCTAAGTGATTTTAGTTTATGCTTTTCCATACTTTAAAAGTTATTTAATAATTGGTTTACTAGTAGCTATAAAGTGTTGCAAACTACAAGAAGTCAAAGGGTTACTATAGACCTATGTAGTCTCTTCTACTGATGCACTTACAACCCACAACGACATAAGCCACAATAATATATACTGCTTGTGCCTGCAATATGCTTATAACATCTATTACTCATTTATTAGCCTGTTTATACATCATTTATACATGGAAGCAAAATCTAAAATGTAACAACTTGGTTTTGCTTTACTAGGACACTTACAGTGCAGTAAAATAAAAGAGATGATGTGTAGAAATAGACTACAAGAGGCAGAGAGTATGTGTAAGCTCACTATGAATCAGTGGTCAAAGCCAGCCTCAATTGAAAAGAATTCTTTTCCTTGCCTTCTCCTTAGGTGAAAAAGGTAATAACCAAAGTTTCAGAAATTTCAGAAAAATACAGATTACAGATGAAACTGCAAAGGCTAAAAGGGAAATAAAATTCCTACATTCCTTTTGCCACTCCCCATTTTCTCTATTTTGGTGTTTACAGCAACTTCAGAGTACTGAAGTTTTTCCTGTTGATCTCCTGTGGTTTCCTGCACACTTCTGTAGAAAATAATGTAACCTGAGCTAAAATTATATCTCTTCTGTAACTTTTGAAGGTTTGTGTACCATAGAATGAGTTGCTTTTTCTTGCTTAAAAATAGAGTTTCTGGCCCTTTCCAAGATAGAATATAAAAAAAAATTTTACTTTCATATAGAATATAGAAACACTAAATGATTTGGAGATGAAATTCGCATTTAGATGTTATCTTACAACTAACAAGAGTTTGTCAGGCACATTTTATTTTAAGACCAAAGTCTGCATAAATTTACATGTCATTTTTATAAGTCCAGTTTCTACAGGTCATTTACCTGCATATGAATGTAAACTTTAGTCAAATTTTAATGCAGATAGGAGTTTGTGATACTTACTGATATTTATATTGATAGATGTTAGGGAGGATATGTTTGTATGAGAAGAAGTTAGACATTTAGTGTGAGAAAATTCAGTTACTGCAAATGAAAAAATGGGTAAAAAACTGGCTATAATTTTAGTGGAATTTAATACTATTAAAGAAGAACACTCTTTATTCAGCAATTAATGGTTTAATTCTGAAAATGGTCATGGGGAAATTTTTACTTTTATCTGAAAGCCTTGTGCCTGATCTTGTGAACCCCTGGCCACAAAGCATGAGCAGCAATGGAGAATGCCTTATCATTGCATTTCTAGGAAATCAAAGGCAAGATAGTAAAAATTTCAAGAGTGAAACTGTCAAATTCCTAATAATTTCAATTACATAGTTAAATTCTATAAATACTTACGCATTTCAGAGCTTGCATTTGAAGTTTATGTAAGGAAATCCATACTCACTGTTTCCTCTGCAATGAGGCACAGACTTTTGTTCCTGGCATTAGTGTTAGTACTGGTAATAAGTTACCACAGTGATTTTGCAGTCCCTGCTTAAGAATTTTAGTTAATTAATGTCTTGATGAAATCAAGGTTTTGTTTCAATTTGATTTCTTTTTAATGTTTTGGGTACAATATTCCTACACACAGAGATTCTAAAGGCTGAAGAAATAATTTCTGCAGACTTGCAGTCATTAGCATATATCAGGTTCAACCCTGCATGCAATAGTTACCAGAAATGTTTCTGCATATGTTTGATAGTTTGTTATTCTGTATTTTATAACCTGACCTAGTATGAAGTTAACAACCTGAGTTGCCCTCCGGTGAATCTGATCCTCACTTTGACTGTCTCAGTAGCTAGGATAGTTAGGTTCCCAAGGCAGTTGGCTTAAAGATTCTAAGTTCGCATATTTGGAGCCTAATTTGTTTAGTCTCCACTGAGTATTTTAAGCCAGGTGGAATGAAGCTGGGCCTAAGCTGACACCTTGTATTGGAATTCATTTTTCAGATAACTTATTTCCACAGAGCCCTGAAGGCCACTGGACACCTAATTTCTGCCAACTTTGAAAATCCTAGCTGATATATAGCAACTCACATGTAAACAAATAAAAAGCAGCAAAACAAATGTATTTGCAAAATGGGCATATGCTATTAAGATTGATGTAACTGTATTCATTTGACATTCTGAAATTGCAAGTGTATATGGGTCAATTTAATCTGTATCCTTCGCTGGTTCTTTACAAATAGGTCCTACGCCTGTGCCAATATGCAATGATGAATATACCTGTGAATATCAGGCTGCAGAATCAGCGGCTTGCAGCAGCTGCTGTAGCTATTTTGCAGGATCAGGGAGCTCTAATAAAGTGTTAGCAGGTGTTAATAATAGGAAAAAATGTCTGTTTCTGTTGGGATAGAAATCAGAAATGAAATAATTCACATAAATTATTTTTCTACTGATTCTGCCTGCAGCTTCTGCTGAAAGACCTGGACACTAAACAAGAGCTGAGCTTTCACAGTGAAGCTCAGTATCTATTTGGAGAAGGTGGATATGAGACTGTGACAGAACTAGCAGCAGTCAGACCAGACAAGCCACCACTCAGGGGTATGCTGCTGAACTAAAAAAATTAAATAGATAAGCAAATGCACACACACACACACAGAGTTGTGACCTGTTTAATGGAATTAACACAATTGGCAAGATTGCAAAGAATTTTATATATATTTAAAAAAAGCCACTCAAAATTGTTTTTAAAAAATTCATTCAATATACCTGCATAAGCTGTGTGGTCTTTAATAACGGTTATTGCTTAAGAATTTTTTCTGTTTTAAAACAACTATAATGCATTATTTTCACTAGGATAAGCAGCAATATGGAAGCCTGAAAAATGCACAAAGCTCATTTAGTACATTTCCATTGAAATTTTTAAAAACATCTGATTTACAATCAGTGAGGGACTAAATCAGTTTTAAACAAGGATGTGCAAAGTCATAATGGCATGAATCAAAAAAGGATAAACAATCTTTTTTTTGAGGTTTTCTTCAAGCCCTACTTCTGCCCCAGAAGCTCTGTTTCATTTCATCATTGTATCCAAAATATAACATCTTCTTTTGTTCTGATTACATTCGATAAAATATTTAGAAAAGAATTCTTATTCATTATACTCTATGAACAGAAGCCTTGGTTAAAATATTTAAAACTTTTTGCATTTAATATCTGACTGAAGGCTAGACTGCAAATGGAAATATATCTGAACTGTCTATTATAATATTTAATTCTTCATAGGCCTTACAGAAACCATAAAAAAAAACAAACCTCTGTCATGCTGCCTCAAGGAATATGTACCATATAACTTATCAGCCAAAAGTCATGGCAAGCCATCCTTTGTGGTGAAGAATAGTAATAGCAATGCATATCTGTATAAATAGTTGAGGCATTTTTGCTGAACATATTAATTAATATTGGCCGTAATTATCAAAATGTGCGACTAAACCAGAATTCAGCTGATCCAGAACAAAAAAGCACATTTCATCTGTTAAATCTGTGCTTTTTAATTTGATAAAATATTGTTAGAGTTGATATATCCTAACTCAAATTATGACCTTTCAATCCTATGAGAATTCAAAGCTTTTGACAAAGCCTGATACAATCAGTGTGATTCTTTCTTTTAGTTGATTCCAGTGACCGGTGGATAAGTCTCTAGTACATTTTCTTTTTCTGTAATGTAAGAATGGATCATTGCATTGATTCATAAAGGTCATTTACTTTCTAATGCTATACTTTGCTGTAGTGAGTTAGCTAGCAATCTATATGAAACTCAGGCAGAACATTAATGTCAATCACTATAACTTCATTCCTTGATCTTGAAATTAATCCTTTACCTAAAATAAATTGATTTATAATGTTTGGAAATTACATTGCTAAATAGTCTGATTTAATAATGTCTTTTGTCACTGATTTTTCATGACAGAAGTTCTTTACTCGATCAGTGTTCATACGGGAACATTGCCTGCATCAGGGACTGATGCAGATGTATTTATCACAGTATTTGGAGAACAGGGAGACTCCTGCAAAAGGAGACTAAAACAGTTGAATTTTGAAAGTGGACAGGTTAGTACTGATTTATTTTCCTTACATCTTTGCTTAATGTGTTTTATTTTATTACTTTCTTCCAATTCCGTATTTCTTTTCAATTATCAAATATAATCGTTGTTACACCATGGTAACCTGTGGAAAAGATGTGTTGCTTACAAAGTATAGACATTTTACCTGAATTGGGATTATGGTTTAGGAATAGTTCAAGTACGAGTAAATTTAAAACACACAAGCTATCAGTAACTGTTCCTAGAAACTGGAATTGAACCTAATGATACATGAAAATCCATGGCTTAATTTTCAGTTGTGAAGCTGGTATGGAAATATCAGTGTTGTTTCCTGTGACTGCTCCTTTAAAAGACATTTTTTTAAAAGATCTGTCTAGATGCAGTTGAAAGATTTTAAATGTGTCAGTTAGTATATGTTAGTTAATCCATTTAAATAAAGAATTGCAAACAGGTAAAGCTGCTTTTAAGCATGCTGCGACTGCTCAAGATAAATACTAGGAGAGATTTTCTGGTCAACCTTTGGTAATTACCAAATAAAGGTTTATATCTACGCAACACTTGGCACATACCCTGGACTCTGGACAGACATGAATAGGTAGGGTTTAAAAAGACCTTTCAATAGCTCAATTGATCGTGTACAATAAAGTAAATCCTCTATACTTATTGCATACCATTTATTCATATCTCTCATGGCTGACATGCCGTAGCTTTCCTAGCAATCTGTCCCATGGCTTTCCGAGCCTGGCCATTAAACAGTTCTATCATTATCTTTATATTGTCAAAATATTTTCTTCAGTTTAGAAACACAGAAACTAACCATGTCATCCTTTTGTTCCATAGTCATTGATATGGTCTCTTCCACGAATTTGTGTAAACTCTTTTTAAACGTGTAATGAGCATCCACAATCTCCTGCTGTAGTATGGACTGTACTTGGTCAGCAACCTCTGTAAAGCTTGCACATACTACTTTCATCTGCTTTCCCTGCTTTTACTGGAAGAAACAGTGAATGTTTTTTCCTTCTCTTTGCTGTTCTTGCTTTTATAGACCTCTATCTTCTGTGCACTTCTTTTGTTGCTGGATTGTTCATTGTTCCTTGTCTAGAAAAACGTCTCTTTAATCATTCTTCTTACACTTTCCTGTATCTTTTTCCGATTCTTCAGTAATACATTCTCAACCTCTTAAAAACTTTGCCATAACCGCCTCTGGTTCTCTTTTTAGTTCTTTGTCAGAGTTGTATTAGCTTAGCTCTAGCTACCATCTTCAGACAGCTGTTCTCTAAATGGGCTGTGTGATATAGTATATAAAGTACTTCAATGCAGGACACCTACATTAATTTCTAAGCTCAGTCACTGGTTCACCTGATGACCTGAATGTATCATTTTACCTTCCTGTGTTTTTCATTTCCCACCATAAAATGAAGATAACCTATAGTTTAGGCAAAAATGAAAAGAGCATATGTATTTCAATTTAATTTATTTCCCTTTTCATTTAATACTAAGGAAAATTAAATACTTCTTTTAAAAATATACTTAATCTCTCCTTTCCATGGCAATAGCATAGTGCTAAATTAATAATAATATTGTCCTAGTACCTAGTAAAATTATTATGCTGTCGTGGTTTAAACCCAGTCAGGTAGCTTGTTCACTCACTCCCAGTGAGTGGTGCCGAGCTGACAACAATCGAGGTCCGTGTCCGTCTCCCCCCCCTGCCTCCCCGCACCGGGGCTCTCCCCTTCCCCGCTCCCGGAGGAACAGGGAGGAGGATCGAGAGAGTGCAACTCCTACGGGTTGAGACAAAAACAGTCCAGCAACAAATCACCACCGCTACTATCAGCTACAACAATGATAAGGGAAAATAACAAGGGAAGAGAATACGATACCACCGGCCAAGAGAAACGAGCTCCACCCGGAAGCCCCTGTCCTTCCGGGTAACTCCCAGTTACCCCTCACCCCGGGCATGACGTGCTGTGGTATGGAATACCTCCCCGGCTAGCCCGGGTCAGGCGCCCCGTCTCTGCTTCCTCACAGCCTCCCCTCCTCCCTGGCAGAGCATGAGCCTCACAGAGTCCTTGGTCAGGGTAAACATCACTTAGCAACAACCGAGAACATCGGCTTCACCAACACTGTTCTCAAACTGGAAGTCAAAACACAGCACTGTACCAGTTAACACAAAGGAAAAACATGACTGCTACTGCGGAACCCAGGACATTATCCACCCCTTATTCCATACCATTCACGTCGTGCTCAGATCCCACATTTTCAATACACCATCGCTCTCCCACATATATACATCCATATACATACAGACCAAGAGGAAAAATCATTTTCTTAGTGCATGGACCAATCCCTATAATGCTGCCGAGTCCATTCGGTCCATGATGTTCAAAGTTCATTCTCTGTTGGGATGATGGCTGGAGGGAAGTCAGGGCCAGTCGCTGGTGACCTGGAGACATCTAGTTGATGGGCTATGAAAGCATTACACAGCAGGCAACAGCATACAATTGAGTTCACTGGCTGTTTTCCCCTAAAATCAAATCCCCTTGAGGTATACATCGGACTTCCCCATCTTCCCGCATTACCCACCAAGTATATCCAGGTCCCTGAGCAAAAGCAATCCCACGAGTGGGTTTGCCTTTACCTGAAGCAGGAATTACCCAGACTGTCTTCCCCAGCAAATTCTTCATATGCACCACGGGAACTTTGTCCCCCTCTACAATATGTAACAGTTCTGACTGGGCTGGGCCAGCCCTGTTGGCAGATCCTCTGGTGTTGACCAACCAGGTGGCCTTTGGTAAGTGTGTATCCCAATGCTTGAAAGTTCCCCCACCCATTGCTCTCAGGGTAGTTTTTAACAGCCCATTGTACCGTTCGATTTTCCCAGAGGCTGGTGCATGGTAGGGGATGTGATATACCCACTCAATGCCATGCTCTTTGGCCCAAATATCTATAAGGTTATTCCGGAAATGAGTCCCATTGTCTGACTCAATTCTCTCTGGGGTGCCGTGTCGCCACAAAATCTGTTTCTCAAGGCCCAGGATGGTGTTCCGGGCAGTGGCATGGGGCACGGCGTATGTTTCCAGCCACCCGGTGGTTGCTTCCACCATGGTAAGCACATGGCGCTTGCCTTGGCGGGTTGGTGGCAGTGTGATATAGTCAATCTGCCAGGCCTCCCCGTATTTATACTTCAACCATCGTCCTCCATACCAAAGAGGCTTTAACCGCTTGGCTTGTTTAATTGCAGCACATGTTTCACACTCATGAATAACCTGGGCAATAGTGTCCATTGTTAAGTCCACCCCTCGGTCACGGGCCCATCTATATGTTGCATCTCTGCCCTGATGGCCTGAAGTGTCATGGGCCCACCGGGCCAAAAATAATTCACCTTTATGTTGCCAATCTAAGTCCATCTGAGCCACTTCAATCTTAGCCGCTTTATCCACTTGTTGGTTGTTCTGGTGTTCCTCAGTGGCCCGACTTTTGGGTACATGGGCATCTACATGACGTACCTTCACCACCAGGTTCTGCACCCTGGCAGCAATATCTTTCCACAGTGCAGCAGCCCAGATGGGTTTACCTCTGCGTTGCCAGTTGCTCTGCTTCCACTGCTTCAACCACCCCCACAGGGCATTTGCCACCATCCATGAGTCAGTATAGAGATAAAGTACTGGCCACTTTTCTCGTTCAGCAATGTCCAGGGCCAGCTGGATGGCTTTCACCTCGGCAAACTGACTCGATTCACCCTCTCCGTCAGCAGTTTCTGCAACTTGTCGTCCAGGACTCCATACAGCTGCCTTCCATCTCCGATGCTTTCCCACAATACGGCAAGAGCCATCAGTAAACAAGGCATACTGCTTTTCACTTTCTGACAGTTTATTATATGGTGGGGCCTCTTCAGCGCGCATCACCTCCTCCTCTGGTGACATTCCGAAATCTTTGCCCTCTGGCCAGTCCATGATGACTTCTAGAATGCCTGGACGACTGGGATTTCCTATTCGAGTTCGTTGTGTAATTAGTGCAGCCCATTTACTCCATGTAGCATCGGTTGCATGATGTGTAGAGGAGACCCTGCCTTTGAACATCCAGCCCAGCACGGGCAGCCGGGGTGCCAGAAGGAGCTGTGCTTCAGTGCCAATCACTTCCGAAGCAGCTCGAACCCCTTCATAGGCTGCCAGTATCTCTTTCTCAGTTGGGGTATAGCTGGCCTCAGATCCTTTATATCCCCGACTCCAAAAGCCGAGGGGTCGACCTCGAGTCTCCCCTGGAGCTTTCTGCCAGAGGCTCCAGGTAGGACCGTTCTCCCCAGCTGCAGTGTACAGTACATTTTTTACATCTGGTCCGGTCCGGACTGGTCCAAGGGCTACTGCATGAACTATCTCGCGTTTAATTTGCTCAAAGGCTTGTTGCTGCTCAGGGCCCCATTTAAAATCATTCTTCTTCCGGGTCACATGATAGAGAGGGCTTACAATCGAACTGTAATTTGGGATGTGCATTCTCCAGAACCCCACTGCACCCAAGAAAGCTTGCGTTTCTTTCTTATTAGTTGGTGGAGACATTGCTGTTATCTTGTTGATCACATCTGTGGGGATCTGTCTACGTCCATCTTGCCATTTTATTCCCAAAAATTGAATCTCCTGTGCAGGTCCCTTGACCTTACTCCGTTTTATGGCAAAACCGGCTTTCAGCAGGATTTGGATTATTTTCCTCCCTTTCTCAAAGACTTCTTCCGCTGTATCGCCCCACACAATAATGTCATCAATGTATTGCAGGTGTTCTGGAGCTTGCCCCTGTTCCAGCGCATTCTGGATCAGTCCATGGCAAATGGCAGGGCTGTGTTTCCACCCCTGGGGCAGTCGGTTCCAAGTGAACTGGACACCCCTCCAAGTAAAAGCAAACTGTGGCCTGCACTCTGCGGCCAAAGGGATTGAGAAAAATGCATTGGCAATATCAATCGTGGCATACCACTTGGCTGCCTTTGACTCTAGTTCATACTGAAGTTCTAGCATGTCC